GTCTGCTGATGGTTCCAAAGGTTCTGCGGCCAGGTCCAACCCATGGGCCATAGGCTGCTTCCCCTTGTTTTAGGGCACAGGCTTTCATCATTGTGTTCCTTACCTTATTTCTGTTTTTCTTACTTCAGCAGTTTCTGTGAACACTATTATTGGAATGGCTAAGTTAAAAAAGCAATTCTTGTATGCTTCAAATGGATGGCCACCCACAATTTTGATCAATTCCAGTGCAACCTAGGGTAGACAAGATGACTGGGTTACTCAACAGAGTCTTAAGTATTACTTTTAACAAAGCTGACACATAATATTTGGCACAGTCAGTAGTACCGACTCAATTACAGAATTTCCATTAGGCTTAGGTCAGCATTAGGGAGCTGCGTAGCTCAGTCAGTAGGACAACTAGGAGTCTCTGGGGACACATCTGAGTAAGTAGGGGAAGCCACGCAGGCACCCCCAAGGTTTTGGGGGCCCCGATCCTACCCAGAAATATTAATGGCTTGAGCTGTAAGGGACTCATAAGCTAGACATTACCATTTTCTAACATGGTGAATACATAAAACTAAAGAACCTGAAATAGTGAGCTAATTGCTTAAGTAAATATATACTGCTATAGCGAGTCCTCTTACATTGTAAAAATATGTACCAGATCTAATCTAAAGACTCTGTTGGGTTGTAAAGCTACATGTTTTAATGGTTATATTAACCAATGAGAATACATCTTTCTTTAGAAATTCATTGAATTACAAATGGAAAAGCCAATTAAGATCAATGATTTATATCAATCCAGCTTGTTGCTGTTACTACTAGCTCATCACATTTCTGTTCCTGTTGATGGCATGCCAGCTAAACAACAGCAGTGAAAAAGATATTATGTTGAGAAAAATATTACTGCAGGCATCTGTGCACAGAATAAGGAATAATACAGCAGAGCCTGCCCCCCTGCTTAGGAAGGGAATGCTTCACTCAGATTAAAGAGTGAGGAGTTAATGTGAAAATAAGGGAAAAGCACTAATGACTCTCACTAGCATACTAAACAGTGCAACTTAACTTTAGTCAACAAATTACAACTTTTTAAAAAGCATAAACTATGTTTAATGTTTTTTCCTACTTGCTAATCCAGTTTTAATAGCAAGACAAATGGGGTTACATTTTATAATTCTGGATTCCCATACTGCTAAATATTAAATACTGTATCATGTTCCAAATTCTCCAGCCCAAGAAAGAGCAATGCATGCCCAAAAGATTGTTTAACATCTCTTCCAACTATAAAGTTAGACCATGAAAAAATTTCCATTTCACTTAAAAACAAAAATATTCTGGCAACGAGTACCACAGACTCAAGATGTTACTGTAGATTTAACCCAGTTTAGGGGTTAATTATACTAGTCTATCAGGGCTGCACTTAATTAACCACTCCTCAAATAATACCGTGTTTAAGCAGAAACAGGGCCAAAATGGAATATGCATTTCCCAAGTCACATGTGGTCTTGTAAAATAAAGGTCTCCTCAAAATGCAAACTTACTCACCAAGCCAGACACTGCAGCGGTAGCAGTTGCAATGGCAGGAATAATCTTTCCAGCAATGCGCTTTGTTTTGAGCCGATCTGCTGGTTCGATGTTGTACATCTTGGCTCGTAGGTTAGATGCTGCTGTTATGAAGTCTATATGCCCATTATCATCATCATCTTTTTCAAAGGAAAGTGGCTTCATTTGCAAATCACCTGTCCATGACATGAACCGCTTATTGTTTATCAATAAAACAAGGAAGACCCAATTAATTTACTGATGTTCTGGTCTGTTTTGTTTAAAACATTTCACTTTAGGGAGTACTAGGTCCTGGTGCAAATTTTTTTTTTTTTAATTTGTCTTTCTGAGCTAAAGAGAACCAGCCAGCAGAGTTAGTAACTAGGTTTACTAACCTGGGTTACATACTTATTAATAATGAGATTAAGCATTTTATTGCCCTTCATCAAAAAGAGAAGAATTTTCTGAGCATTCTTCTCCACCCTGCAAATCCACCCTTCATGGATCCACCTTGCAAAAATCTTTGTAATAATTCACTGAGCCTAGATTAACACTTTCTTTTTAAGAATAAAAATTATAAAGACATTTGAAATACGTTAAAGAGGAATTATGTGGTATTTTACTACTCGAGCAATTACTATAACAGAGCTCCCATTAAGAAATTCACAGAAGTGATTCTCAGCCTTCTAAATACCAGGACTGCCTTTAATGCAGCTGGGCTCTAGCCAGGCCCTACAGGAAAATGTAAAGGCAAAACAGTGCCCTAACAACTCTGCTCCCCACCCCGCCTCTCCCCCGCTCCAGGTTGAGAACCCTTGCTTTAAAGAACATATTCATTAGTTGCAATGGACAATCCACAGACTTATTTGTTTGCTTCTTAGGGAATTCTTTAAAATAATTCTGGGATTTTTATATTTTAACAGCCATTTAGGGATAGACACCCATTTTAATTAATGTTATACATAAAAAAGAAGTTTCAGGACTGTATGCAGATGCAAATAGCTGAAGCACCAGAGTACTTTTTGCAAACAAGATCTTACATTGTATGATGCTGTGCTACAGCAGCAGTTAAGGCATATGGCCTGCCAAGGCATTTTGTCTGGCCCGCAGAGCATCTCTTGGTCCTGCCTGGTACAGGTACGAGGGGAGTAGCGTGGCTGGTCTCACCGACCCCAGGCACGCAGTGGGGCTAGGGCAGTGTGGTGGTCAGACTCCATTTCCCAGCAGCCCCAGCAGTAGCGGATCCTTCCGGCTCCCACAGCTGGGCCTGGCCCTGCTGGCTGGGAACCCGGCCCTGCTGGCTGGGAACCCTGGCTTGTCCAGCCCACTTCCACCGCAGGGCTGGGACCCATGCATGCAGGGTACTTGGCTGCATGGCTGGGATGGGGCTGCAGGTGAGCAGCATCCAGGAGTGAGACAGGCAGCTGGGACTGAGGAGACCCTGGGATCTTGGGGCAGTGACAGCGTAGAACCAGAGGAGAGCCATGATCCCATCTGCATGGCCCTGCCCTGACCCCGTGGGCAGGGAGCTGTGTCCGGGGCCAGGTTCAGCATCTTAGTTTGTTGAAGTGCGAGGCCGGGGAAGAGCCACGATGTGCTCCCTGCACGCCCCTGCCTGTGGAACTGGTGCCCATTGCAGGGGTGTGCAGGTAGCAGATTGTGGTTCTGCCCTGGGCCCATGATGTCATTGCCCCATGCCCCCACCCTGTGATCCCAGCCTCACCTACCTGTCCTGCTCCTGAATTCCACGGGGGGGGTGACCTGGCCTGCAACAGCTCAGCAAAACTGCCTATTTGGCCCACGGGCCCAAATTTCCTGCCGCCCCCTCCCCACCCCCCGAGTTAAGGCGACACAAATGGTGAAGTAAATTATAAAGGACATTACTCACTTTTCAAAGCTTCGTTAGCTAGTATGGCATTTTCCAGCTGGAAAATAGCATTCCTTTCATCCTCACTGCTTACTGGATTATGATCTGGTTTCCGTGCAGTTTCATCCGTCTCTACAACCTGTAAATATATGCAGTAATTGAACATATAAATCATATTTTATTTTCTTCAGCACAAGAATGAGATTTACCCAAATATACTGGATTTGGCATTTGCCTTGCATTATGACCACATCAGATAAAAAGCAGCTATTTTCTTCACCGTTAAGGATAAACTGACAACTCTGCAGTAAGCAGGGATATGGACAATGCAGACAAGTAACTACGAATTAAGCTAGGGCAGGAACTCAACATCAGCTACTCTGTTGTATTCACCTTTCACCGAGGAGTAAGTTGCCTCCGTTACAAGGTAAGAGAGTGTCCATGCTGGAAGTTTTTTGCACAGGAGCTCTCACATTGTAAGTTTACACCCTAGCTTGCCTCCTAGTAACTCGTTCGTGAGTCCATAGCACTGGAGACCAAATCCTAACAATGAAACTATGTAGGACAGGGTGTTCAACCTCCAGCCTGTGGGCTAGATACAGCCCATCACGCTGTCATTCAGCCTATAGGACTCCCATGGGTCCAGATATTTGGTGGTAGGGAAGCTCTGGTACCACTCCTCTGCTGCCAAGTCTCCAAAACCCCAGGGAGCCCCAGGCCCTGCACACTGGATCTCGCACCTGATCCCAGCAAGCTGGGATAGGCAGTGGTGAGGCGGGCCCCAGGGCCCAATCCTGGTATGGGAGACTGGTGGGGAGGGATGGTGCCAGGACCCTTCGACCCAATCCCAGTGCAAGGGGAGAAGAAGAGAGCTGTACTGCCCCCAGGGACCCAATCCCAGCATGCAGAGGGAAGAAGGGGCAGTACCAGGCCCCCAAGGCCCAATCCCAGCACACAGAGGAGGGAGGGGGAGCAGCACAGGAACCCCAAGGTCTGATCCAGCCTCCATTTCACTCATCTGGCCTGCTCGGCCAAAAGGTTGAGCACCACCAATGAAGGAGAACACACAGACTTACATGCATCTGTGTCAAACATTATCAAGTACTTTAACAATGCAACAATACTGCGTATGTCAAGGATTTAAAAAAACAAACAAACTCAACAGTTAAAAAAAGTTACAACCAACATAGTTTACTGCTTCATATTTAAAAAAGGATCTATTGATTTTTTTGTGGTGAGGGGGAGGGAGGGTAGTTAAGAAGGATATAGTATACATTAATTTTCTCGCCCAATTTGAAAATAATCTGACTCAGAGCACTTACTATACTATTCAATCTTTGACTTATTTATTAAAATGCTCTAGTAGTTACTATGGATATAGATGGTTTCAGAAAGTTTAATATTAAAGGAAAAATATATAAAAAGGTAACAGCTTTATTAATCACTACTTATGAGCATTAAAATAAACTTGGCTGTATAGCTGTAAAAATGCTTGCAAGTTTAAAGATTTTTTTTTGTTTATAATTTAAAAAAGAAACCATTAATTTGTATGAGTTCAGAGCACCGTCAGCTTTATTTTGACTAGACAACGCTCAGATGTTTAAATGCAAGATCTCAAAAATACAACCCGGGGGGAAGGGGGGGAAACATGGTACACAAACCACACACCGACTACGAGGTCATACAGTGGTTGATCAGTAACCGACAGGTCAGGAAGAAGTGGAGGGGGGTACCGAGTAAAGCAAGATCTGAAGACAGATTATTTATCTGAACTTAGAGCACATTTAAATATTCCACCTACTTTGTTTGAAGGTCTGAACTCTGGTATCTTTACTTCTGAAGTTATCTTCAAAATACTTTCTTCTGATAGGTCCTTGGTTTGGTTTGTTGTTTTTTTAAGAAAAGAAAAAGAAAAAGTAACTGCAGGTTATTTTTGCAATAAAAAGTAGACAGTCCTATATCTGCTACCAATAAAAAAATCAAGTCAAGGAAAAGAAAATTGAACTGAAAATACCCACATACTTTTATTTAACATTTCACTGACAGCAGCATTAATATTATGGGAGGCACTAAGCAATCTTAGATTTGAAGAAACCAATCAGGCTGGGGGATGCAGTGAGATTTCACACTGGCAATCTTACAAATAAAAATGTAAAATTGTTTCATTTATAGTATAAAATGCAAGCAGAACCATATATACAGATCACCATCTATACAAGTTACAAACAGGCAATGGTAGTAAGCATAGATTATCTTGTCTGTGACATTTTCTTGCAGCTGGAGATATGCAGTTCAACCAAAAACATTAATCATTCATGTTAAAATCCCTGCTACCTCTTTTTTCTAAGCACCACACGAACAGAGAAATTCTGACAACAGTGGGCATATCTACACATAGTACGAGTGCAATGCAACAAACTCCGGTGCAGTTCACACCAGAGTTTGTTGCTCCTGGGTGCCTCTTTTCGATGTGCACCTAGAACTGCATCATGTTGAACTGGGTCGGAGCAGCTTCAGCTGGCAGAGGAGCCAGGGGGTCAGCATGCCAACTCAGGCCTGCTCCGACCTAGCTCAACGTGCTGTGCAGGGGCTGGCTGGGACACAAGGATGCTCTAGTGTGCGGCTAGTCAGCAGGCAGCCCCTACACTGAAGCACCCTCGTGCTCCAGCCAGCCCATTAGTGTCGACACGTGCATTACAGCACACTAAATGCCGCCATAGGATACTACTTGTGTTTACAAGTACTAACATCTGGCAGTGTTTATGAGTGTCCTACAGCCTAATAGGGCCGCACGTGTAGATGCTGAGACTACTGCAGACCTAATTAGGCAGCTCTGCAGTATACATCTCATGTAGATGTGCCCAGAGTATATTCCATCTAGACTAGGTTAGCTGCTCAAGGAGCAGCCATTGTAGCTACTGTCAGAAGATCTGAGAATAAAGATGAACTGGGAATGGAAAGAAGCAGGCAAGGCACCAAACAAAAGCATAGGTATTTTGGTACAGACAGCATGTAAGCCAGATGGTACAGGGAGTGTGTTGGCCAGAAAGGACAAGTGTAGTAAACCAGGGCTTTAGATATGAAATCAAAAGGATCCAATACTATGGAGAAATTAGGTCAGCTAAGAAAATGTAAGTGGGGCTAGAACTGACTGAATATTTCTGAAAGGTTTCTGGTTATTTTCTCTCCTCTTCAAGAATGAAGGGTAAGTCTGAAGAATTAAAACAAAACAGTTTCTTAAAGATAACTGCTGAGGAAGAGCAGGGATTATAGTATTGGACAATCATGGTGAAGGCTAAAAATAATTTTAAAATTCTGTTTGTTTCACAACATTTTATCACTGAATACTGAATATAAGCAGGAGCACTTGAATACATGGCAAATACTGAAGTGCATCTAAAATTCTCTTTACAGCTCTAACTGGTAGAACGCATTCCCCCACGGCATGGCTTACCTTTTCTGTGAAAGGGATACAGTATACTGTTGCAAAGAGTTTTGCTGCACTTATTATGAAACTGTAGTGTCTGTTGAAAAGAAAATAATTGGCTTTGTAGCAGAAAATATAAATTAGATTATCGTGAAAAAAACATTGTATTTCTACTATACACTGTAACACAAGTCAAGACAGGGACCAACTGGGACAGGCTACAAGAAAATGAAGTTTCTGTCTGTGGCCTGTGAGACATGCTATTGAAGAGCTTTTTAAGAGAAAAAGATGATTCTAAAATTTAAGTGATAGCCCACAGAGAACTCATGAAAAACCTGAGATGGCTTGAAATATTCCCATCCTTACAATACCAGATTTAATCTTTTCTTCACAATTAAAAATGACATGCAAGGTAATGTCTTATATTACTAATAGATTGAGTTTTCAAAGACTAAGGAGGACTTATCCCAAGAGTACAGATCTGGGGGGGGGGGGTCAGACTGCCTGCCTGGGGTTGCTCTGACCTGGCTCAACATGCTGTGCAGGAGCTGCTGGTGCATTGCGTGCTTCAGCATGGAGCTAGCCAGCAGGCAGCCCCTGCACTAAAGCATCCTCATGCCCCAGCCAACCCCTCCAGCATCTATATGTGCACTGCAGTGGAGTAAAACAACTTCGCAGTAGGATAGTAACTGTATTTACAAGTACTACCCTGCTGCGGAGTTACTTAGTTCCCTGCAGCCTAAGAGGGCTGCACATGTAGATTGCAGACGTTTGCTGTGGAATTAGTCTACTCCATAGTAAACATCTTGAGTAGATGCATGAACAGTGTTTTAAAATGCTGCTTATGCATTAAATCCTTCAGTTCAGTCATTTGCAAAATGTAGATTAAGCCATGATTATATTGAATTTTATGTGAAGGAAAAGGAGTGGGGCCTTCTACAAAACTTAATGCTTTGACCTGAGGTAGAAGCAAGTCTCCTAGGCATTTTACTAATGTTGGACAAGTTCTCTATCCACACAAGTCCATCATTCAGGGTTTGTCCTTCAATGTGTGTACAAAGAATCAGATACAGTACTTACAGAGGATCATTAAATTCAAATTTTGTTGGAAACGGTGGCCTTTTTGGTGACTGCCAAAATAAACCTGTTAAGTAAAAAGATTTTAAGTAAAAAGCTAAGCAATTAATAAACACAGTAACACAATGACTTTCATAGACATTAGGGCCTGGAAGGGACCTCGCAAGATCATTGAGTCCAGCCTCGCCCCACTCCCTCTGGCAGGAAGTCAGCTGGGATCAAGTGACCTCAGCAAGAAAAACATCCACATGTTTTTCTCCATGACTTACTCCATAAACTCACGAAATAATGTAACAACTGTTTATACTTACTTCCATCTTTTAATCGTGTATCAAGGGGAAAAGAATGTAGTAGCTGAAGAGCCTAAAGAAGAACATCATAGTATCATTAATGCTTCACTATACACAAGTCAGCACTAATATATTAATGAAACAAAAGCAAATGTTATTTTAGTGCTCTGGAGTCTTGGTCTGAAACTCTCCCAGCAGTTATGAAAACACATCCGTAGTTGTGTGGGGAGCTCCATCTCAGCTGCTCAGTAAGGCTAAAGCGGTCAAAGTGCTGTTTCCAGCAACAGAATGACACACACATTCATTCAAAGCAAAACACAGGTGTCAACTTTGTATGTCACCTCCCAGGTCATACATAAGAAAGACCTGTCGTTCAATAAGAGACTTTCCTAGCAAACAATTTCCTGCGTAAGTACTACTTTAGACTTTTTCCTTAAAAAAAAAAAAAGCTGTGTACACAATTTAACAACACTGTGGGACACACTTTCAAAGCTGAAAACTCAGCAGCTGTGTTTTAGCCATGGCTTCTGCCATACATTTGAAGAAAAAAGCATATCAACACAAAGCTAGAAAATAGCAAACTTGGCTTAAAAACAAAAAGTCTCGAGACAAAACTTCACCAAAATTAGATCTTGGATAATGACAAGCTTGTCTCTGCGCAATCATACTATCTACCTAGAAAAAAAGTTGCAAAAACAATATTACATAAAATCCTGTCCCTGGCTGTTCTCTAGATGCAATAAATGTAGCACTTTATTCCAACTCTGTTCCCACAAGCAGATTAACACACCTCATTTAATGTAAGATTAATCTAAAATTGAAGATTGTGAAGAGATCATGGGGTGTTTGGAGGGGAAAGCATTTGTGGCAATAAGACAAAATGTTTAGTATTTCTGGAGCAAGTGACAGGCAGCCAAAGGTGAAATGTTTTGCAGTTTTGGTATCTCACAAAAATACACTTTTAACCTCAATTAAAAACCATCCCATAACCAGGTTTTATATACTCACCTTATGGTTAAAATATTTCTCAAATTTTATTCTTGCTAGCTCCACACACTGAGACCAATTTCGGGGTCTACGACTGAGGTATTTAATAACTTGAAAACAGCCTTCTAAACTCTCCCCCGACTTTATTCTCTAAACACAAAACAGGATTAAGAAAATATTCTTAATATAATTAATAGAATGGACAATTTCAATATAATAAAAGGCTTAGTCTGTGTGTCTGTCCGTGTGTCTGTCTGTCCGTAACGCTTTTGGCCAACTGCCCAGTTGGCATTGGCTGATTGGGCTAGGGCCAGTTGAGTTAAAACAGGAACCCCTCCACCAGTGCCGCCTCTTCCTGCAGCCCACAGCGAGGCGGCTCCCTCTGCCCCACCTCTACAGAGGGGAAAAAAAACAATAAAATTAAATTAAAAAAAAAATGGCATGAACGCTTGAAAAGTGGCAGGGCCAGCTGAGGAAAGGTGGGAGCCCCTCTTCCAGCCCTACCTCCTCTGCAAACCTTTGGTGTGCCAGTTCCCTCGGCCCACCTCCAGTGGCAAAAAAACTAAAATTAAATTCAATAAAAAATAAAAAAATTAAAATAAATAAATAAATAAATAAATAGGGAAAAAACACTTCACAAGTGGCGAGGCCAGCTGATGAAAGGCAGGAACCCCTCCGTCACAGCAGGGTTGGACCTGAAGGGGGGGTGGGGGGAAGCAGGGTCGGACCCAAACCAAGAGGGGAGGCATGGGTGGACCTAAACCAAGAGGCAGGGCGGGGTCACAGGCACGGCTCTGTCCCCGCCGGCCCCTCTTTCCCCATCATTCTTGACGGGCAATTTGCTAGCATTCTTTATAACTCTTTTATCAGACTGCAAATTCAACTTAGGTAATATTACTAAGAAAGGACAGATGCAGATCCAACTGATGAAATATCATTTACCTTTCATTACCAGGTTAATGTGGAAGATATTTGTTTGTCCGGGGTCTATTTTTTTTTCTAATTTCAAGCTTCGTCAGTTTTAGTGATCATGGAACAATATGTACTTAATACACAAAATAGAACATGTGGATCCTTATTCCTTCCTTTCTTCCGCCTTCCCATAGTCTACTGGCTATTAGTACAGCTCATCTTCTGCTGTCTTGCACTTCAGCAAGACTCAGCTAACAGAGACTCAAGGTTCCCACTCACATATACAGAGGTGCCTAACAGCCCAAAAAGCATTCCACACAAAAAGACTAACTTAAATTTGGATAGTTAGTTGAGCTCCAATGTCAAGTTAAGAAATGACAAGAATGTTTTTGATGTTACCGCTCATTAGGGAAACAGACAGTAACAAATCTTACTTTGTAGCCAATATAATCAATCAGTAAATAGCTAGACTCCCCTGGGAGAAGGTTACATTATCCCAAAGTTTAAATTCTGTTAAATTCTGTTAAGCCACAGACTAGTTTAAACTCCTTATTTTATCATGGCATTTATTCTTACCTGTAAGACATTTTCTGCAGATGGATAAGTTTGCCAAAATTTGTTAAACAAGGAAGGCTTATGGGAAAATGCACTTTCAAACTGAAAAACAAAAGAACAAATAAGAAGCTGAGCAAAAGACTGTTTTGCAAGGTTTACTTTTTCCTTCTAAATGTAAAATGTATTTGTATGCAGGCAGCCAGTGCACTTACCTTGTCTCTTGCCCACTGTATTGTGTGCTCAATAGCAGCTGGGAAAGATTTTAAAGTGCAAAAAGGTATTTCTTCTTCTGGTGGATCTCGCTAAATTAGAAAAAAAAAGCTGTATGTAAGGACAGGTACATTTAATTATTACTGCAATAGGATCGAAGATTACTGTACTATTTTAAGTTCTGGCAGGTCGCTTAAAAAAAAAAAATCAGATCGACAAAGAACAAAATGTGATTTCATGACCCTGGATTTATTTTCTCAAAGCACAAATGATACAGCATTTCAACACAGCCTTAACTGCAACTTAGAACTCAAAAGGCAAGACAATGGGAGTCACGAAGTAAACTGAACCCCAAGACAGTACCACTAGAGCAAACCAAATTTAACAGAAACATCACTTTTCCCCTTTCAATTGAGCAGCTGCCAAAAATGTGTTTCTCCTGCGTAAGTGACATAAATAATGGAAGGAAATTCCAAAATAATCCCTCTCAAAAATATACTAGTTTGTTTGGCTTTTTTTTTTTTTTATCTAGACCACTAAAGATCTGATTCCTCTGGATCTCTAATACGGTCTATTTTCCCAGCATCAGGACAAAGTCAAACAGATCATTTCTATATTAAATAGATGCACAGCATTATAAACGAAGGACAAGAGCTCAACCACCAAATGCAAGTAATATTTATAAATGGACAACTTACGTGGCTGTTGTAGGACTCTGTCAGATGAGGCAAAATAACTTCTGTGTGTCCTTTAGTTCCCATAGTGCCAGAGTCTAACAGAGGGCGCAGGTTTGCTACGCAACGACTAGAGAGGAAAAACATGAAAGATGTTTGAGAAGTCTGTTGTCAGCAAGGCCCTCTCCAATGTTCAGAACTCAAAAGGAGAAACTGAAAATCAATATAAATGACCTCAGAAGCAGCTGGAGGGTTTACAATAATATGTAGAAGCTCAAAAGATCAAGCGAGGAGAGCTGGCAGATAAGAACCTTATTTCACCTAGTCAGTACCTGGAGGACTGCATTATAATACAATCACACGGTTCACTGTCACACCTCTAACAGCGTTAAAACCTTTGATCTTTTCTAGATCTCTTCTTTGAACAACTCTCCAAATGGGTTTGCATCATGCACATCTTGCCACTTTGGCTTTCCTCCAGTAGCTTAAGTTAACAGGCTGTTTTGGGTTGGATCCTCCAGAGTAGAGCCCATTCCCCCCAAAAATGTGTGTACACTTTAACAGTGTCTTCATGTCTTTTTTTTTCCACAAAAGCATTTTACACTTTTAGCTCTTACTTATCTTTTTGGCGATCTTTATTGACTCCCTTGAACTTTAAGAGGGTTTGAACTTTAAGAAGGCATTGCTTCTGAAAGTTCTTAGATTGACTTGATTACAACACTGCCTTAAATATGTTACTGAAGTGTGAGTGGCTATAAACCAGGTATAAACAGACAAGTTTTATGCTAAGTCACGACAAAGGTAATGCTTCTCAATGCCATTTTCTGACCAGAAGTGCACTATAAAAAAAGATTAACTGCAATCAATCTTGAAAATGTATGTCCACTTCAAAACATCCTGTCTGACTGTTTCCATTACCCAGTGTAGAGGGAGGCATTCATTACACAACTAAAATAGGCCAATCATTCCCACCATTTTTCAGGACCTCCAACGTCATACTGACCCTTCTGTGAAAGTGTTATCCAGTTAGGTCAGAGATCCAGAAAGCCTCGCTTAGGTTTAGCATTATAAGCAATACCACTTAAATAAAGAAGCCAAACAAATAAGCTCCCATCTTGCCCTGGACCTAGCCTATATCAAGGATTTGAGTTGCTGGTGCAAAGCTACAATCTATTGTTATTCACACAAAAGTAAGCTTACCCCTGCTTCAAAATGAAGATAAATTACATTAATACAGGTCACAGCTTATTGCTTTTTATGCTAGGAGTTTGTGTCAGTACAGCTAGACTGTCACCTGGCCTCACACCACACCAGCAAGTCCCTGGTGTTTGCAATTCTTCCAACACCTAGTCACCCTGTGCCTACAATGCTTTGAATATGTATTTTCTAGGCAGTTTTCAAGAAAAAAGGGAAGGGGCAGGAAATCAAAGGGAACTCTAGTAAACTTATATACAACTCCTATGTTTAAATAACGTTATGAATGAAATGGCTGAAACTGTCCCAACTGGACTGGTCTCTGGTCAGATTTAATAACTGCATACAGGTTCCCCATGTGGGGAACTTAATCTGTATAAACAAAGAGTGGGTGCATCCCCAAAAGCGCACACATTTTTTTCACTGGGGACAATTAGCGGGGCATAGATGCACATGTGCCCCTACACACACTCTGGGTTGGTCCCAGCAGCCTTACCTGGGGTCCTGGGGGCCTCCTGGGGCTGCAGCAGCAATCTGGTTTAGGGCAGCATACGCTACAACCATGTGCGTCGCCCTGCTTTCTTTGCACCCGCCCACACACGCCCGCCTTTTTTGATACCGGGAGTTTCTGGTATCTAATTCTGCCTCTACACTGCAAGTATACAGTACAGAGAACCTATTCACATGAGTCACGTACGTGCTGCAGTGCCTCAAAAGCCTTTGAGGCACTGCAAAGCACACATTCTTGCTTGTGGGGACACAGCCAGTGAGTTTAAAGTGGAATACTTACTTCTGCTGAAATAGAGAGAGTGCCTTAAGCTTAAGGCAGTTTTACTCTGGAATAAGAGCATCAAAAGGCATTATTCTGAAATAGATCTTCCACTTTAAACTAACACCTTATAATTAAGTTCCCTGTGCTGACAAGCCATGGTATTACAAACCACTTTAGTAATACATTTTAATTACACTAGTAATTACACCTTAGTAATAGTTGGTAGGGTCTGAAGGGACCTGAGCATATCATCGAGTCCAACCCTCTGCCATGGCAGGAAAGAGTACTGGGGTCAAACGACCCCAGCGAGGTGTTCATCCAGTCTCCTCTTAAAGACCCCCATCATTCACTCATTCTCTGTGGTACCTTTTTCCTTCTAGATGGTGACTCTTATCCCTGCCAGATACATTGTTTTAGGACTGCCCTGTTATATATTGTCAATGCAGTTTATCCAGTCTGGAGGGGTTTTTAGGGTTTGTTTTTTTAAACTAAGGGAAAGAAGACAATCCACGTTATAGCTTCAAGGTATGAAAGAGTATCCAGGGTATTCCTATCAAATCACATCCAATTCCCCTCCCAAACACTTACCTGTCAATATATCTCCTTGCCTCAACATTGTCCAGTGCTGTGACAATTATATCTTGCTTGGTATAGAATTCATCATTGTAAACATTCTCAGTGGCTGGACATACTTTGTTAAGCTGAGGATCTATTTTCACCTGGGGGTTAATGTTCAACGTTGCTGCTGCTGCAGTAGAGCTTTTAGGTTTCTAATCAAGTTAAAAGAGCAGATAATTAGTCCAATATTCATTGTGAAAATGAGATCTGAACAAGGTGCATGGATCTGGGTTTCAGGAGTATCTCCGGCATTAATAAGATAATGCTTTCTTTGGGTGAAAAAAAGATTTGCATGTAAAAATGTACAAATGTGATAAGACTGAAACCCAGTCTTATCACCTTAGATGATAAGTCATCTAAACCCAGCCCTCTTTCCTGCCTATGCAGGGGGTCGGACTCGATGATCTATTGAGGTCCCTTCCGACCCTAACGTCTATGAATCTATGAAAGTGAAGGACTGGGGTTTTAAATTCCCTTTTATCTACTTAAAAGTTAAGGGCCTTTCACCTTCATCTTATTCATTCAACTTAGGTCTTGCCAGATTTCCTTTTAGTACCTGGCATGATTTAGTATCAGTAGGCTGGGGAAGCATTTGTAAAGTATAACAGGAATGGAGTTTGCCCATTTTTCGACCCTAGGACAGGGGTGCTCAAATTTCTGGCCCATGTGCAGCCCACAGATCCTTGGAATTCAGCTCACAAGGCTCCCCACAAGTTTTTTGGGAAATTTGGCAGCAGGGGAGCAGTGGCAGTACAGCTACCCCTCCCTGCTACCAAAATTTGAAAGTCCTGCATGTGGGCCTGGTCAGAGCTGGGCCATAACCCTCCTCCTGCATGGCCAGATAGGAGCCAAGACATGCACCCTTCCCTCCATGAGGGCAGGTTGGGGCCAGGCTGTGCTGCCCTGCCCTGCCCCCGCACCCGACCCAGGAGAACCAGGCCATGCTCTACTCCTCCTGCAGGGGCAGGCCATGACTCTTCCTCACTGCACTGCACAGCTGTTTTACAGCCAAACCACATCGCTTTCCGTGTCCCACCCTCCCACCCATCCAGGAAGATGGGGAGATGGCTGATGAGTACATCAGCTGTTATAATGCAAGTGGTACGGCTGCATGCTCTTGTAGCTTCCTAACTTTGACCCTCAGTGAAAACGAGTTAGTTGCAACTGTTTTACAACTAGTATATCACTACAGAAGCATATAGATAATAACAGTTATATCAGTATTATTTGATATCAATACAAATGTAAAGTTGGCTATAACATATGCATAAATAAAGGTTAATTCTGCCTTAAAATGGTTGGTAGAATACATCCTTCCACCCTCCTAGCTCTCGAGCTAGTAGCATCACTGTGACCACGGGGCACTGTACACACAGCAAGAAGCTCTGCTTAAAATTTAATACAGAACAGAGCTCTGTACTGGAGCACGTGCGCCTTATCCTTACACATCTACATCACTCCCAGCCTGGAAGAGGGCAGGGTGCACCAGCAGTGCTGCCTTGCATCAAACAGACATACCAAAAGACTTTTTGCACAGAGCTATCTACATTCCCAAGATAAATTCTCATAGTGGATAAACGCAGCAACACATGCTGCTCAAGAGACACTATGACACAGAGAATGCTTACCTGTATGTGGTGGGGTCGGAAAAGAAACTGCCTGTTCAGGTTGGACTTTTCTATTAAGTCTGGATCTGTAATTGTGACCTAGAGAAAGAAGAGCAGAAGCACAGCTGAAGTTATACATTAAAATGTGCTGTTCAGCTCTACTCTCTTTGTAAATGCTATGAGAGATCTTCCAGTACAGTATTAAAATACCCCCACCCTGTTGCCATCTGTCAGGGTTATGACTATTGCCAATGATCTACACTGGCATAGACAGATCTTAGGTTCTGCAAAGTATTTTAAGAATACTGCACATGTGTATGCAGTCTGGGTGACAAAGCACATTTCTCAGTTTCTACTGGACTCCTTCCCTGCTCCCCCCTCCCAAAAGTATGATACAAAATAAGAATGCTTTTTATAGACTAGTAAGACTAAAACTATGCAGTGAAAGAACTTTGTATATGGAAGCAGGTACTTAAATACTTTTTTAAGTCAACAATCCCCCTTTTCAGACAAAGAAAATGCTTCACCACCATATTCATCTCACCACTCTCAAAACACACCATATTGACAATATACCACAGCACTGTCTCACGTTATTGTTTAAATAAGCAATGGCAAGTCACTGGGTGCATAAGACTTACCATGCCTTTCTCTTGCCCAGTGCCAACACCAAGAAGTGCAAAATTTTTTAACATTTCGCAACCAATTGCTCCGCACCCAACCTAAAGAAAATTGAAAGCAATTTAAGCAACAGAAATCAGTGATTATTTTAAATAGGCAGGGATTTTGGATAAAAGGATTGTTAGCTACAGGAACCGCCAGACAAGCTTCAAACATTCAGATTTCTTTTCTCCTTAAATAGTCCATTACATTTCCCACCACAGTAAATATCATTCAGAAAGAATGCCCTGATCAGGCACACCAAGGATGACACTCTCAGGTACCAAAGGGAGGATGTTTCCAGCAGAAGGCTACTGACATCGCAGGGACTTAATCCTGCAAAACGTACAAGTGAAGCCAAACCTAGCCACCGAGCAGGATGCCAGACATCCTTTTTGATCAGACTGTTTCCTAATTACAGATCATGGAATTACATGACATCCTGTAAAGTAGTTTCTACCGGCTACTCTGGGTACTCAGAGGGTAAGGGGTTGGATGCTTTGCCAAACCACAAAGCAGAGAAAATTATGTTTGAAGTTGTTCTACACTGTGGACATTGTAGAGATGCTATTAAAATGGTTTGCCCACTTAAGTTTGGTTAGATAACTTCCTGGAGTAACTATAGACTAAGTTAATCAAAATCTGTCCTCAAAAATATTCTACCAAAACTTTGGGAGGGAATATAACAAGGTCTAATTTACCAAGATCTCTTTATGAGTGGCAAGGATTTCTTAGGTTAATATCTTTTATTGGACCAATAATGTTGCTGGGATAGAGTTAGACAAGCTTCCAAATGCAAGGCATTCTTCCTCAAGTATGATCACAAGGAGCCAGGCACAGAAAAGTATGCATCCTCTGTGCCCGCTGGCACCTGCCCCTTCCATGGTGCCTACGCCCCTGCCCACAGCTTCTGCCCTCCCCCACTCCCCTTACTTAGTCTCTGCATCTTCCCTGCAGCCACTGCCCTGCCTGCCCCCTGCAGCTTCTCCCCCTCCCCATACCCTACTTTGCTGGTCCCCCATAGCCTCTCTGCCTCTCACTGCAACCTTTTTCCTCATGGCAACTGCTCCACCTGCAGCCTCTGCACCCCCTCTGCCGCTGTGTGGCCATATCAGAACTGCCCTGTATGCCATGCTTTGGGCTGGAACTGTATCTAAGTGGCGGGGGGTAGAGGCTGAGGGAGATGGGCAGCAGGGAGCAGGCTCCAGGAGAGTAGAGGCTGCAGGGAAGCAGGGGGCAGGCAGGTGATACATAGCTAGAGTCAACAGCAACTGCCTGCCTCCCCCACCTCATACCCAAATCCAAGACAGAACCCCAGCCCACCACGTTGAATGAGGAAATAAACCTTGTCTTCAATTCAAGAAAATATGGCATGTTATGAAACACAATAAACAGAACTTAACCAAAGCCTTAAAAGATGAAACATTTATTCTTTTTTTTTTTAATCTTTGTTCACAGATTCTGCTCCTCAGGGAAGGAACCCTGTATGAGCGAGACCCACTGTGCAGAGCTACTTGCAGGTTCAGAGAACAGCTTATATCAAGCAGTTTGCAAAAAGTGCTCCAGTCATTGGTGTGCTATAGCGAGGTCCAACTATAATTTTGGGAAATAAGCTCTGTTCCCTGCTCGCTGTTAATGCGAGTAAATGCAATCTGGCTCATCTAAGGATGTAAAACATGACTTCTTCTCAGAGGCTATACTTACCAAGAAAATGTTCAAATTATGCAGCTTTTTGCACAGGGAGTCTCCAATGCAAGCTCTCAAGGCATCATACCTATCACCCCTGTCCAGGCAGGTGAAGACAAAAATAAAGGAAGTGCAGCTATAATTGGCAACCATGATACCAAATATATAAGATAAGCAGAATGTCTTGAGCTTTCACATTAGCTAAAAGATGACTCACTTTAAAGTCCCCAGAAACTCACTCCCCTCCCAAGTTAATAGTATCCTCACCTCAGAAATATTTCCACTAACAGATAAAATACACCTTTTTTACAGGTTATTTTGAATTATTACAGAGGCAAAATCTTTAACTGGGATGGAATGCCTGCATATGATTCACAGATGACTGCGTTGAATGAAATTAGTGCCTTGGCATATGACATTTAAAAAACTGATATAAACATATACCAGTATGTGAAGTACCCCAGGAGACAAATGACTTGTCCCAGAGTTGCTATGCAGCAAACAGCCTTATAGATGGGGGTGGAGCAGGTAATAGTTCACTTTCATTAAACAAATTGTTATCCTAGGATAACTGCAGACACACAAGTTACACCAGTGTAGTTTAATACCGTTTTCACTTCAATTTTAGTATGTAAGTTATACTGGTGTAGGGCTATACATCCTGTATCTGCTCCTTGTTGACACCAGTATATAACATGCGGTATGTCTAGGACATTCAAGTATTTCAGTTTTACCTTGGGATGAATTCTTCACATCTGCTGATCTTGTCTAGAGATGTTACAATATCCAATGCATCAATGTACAGCTATAGGGGAAAGCCAAAAAGGCATGCAAGTTGAAAGATTTCACATTCATCAAAATATTATTTTTGTTAAAGAAAGACAATTACTAACTCACGTTTTCAATATACTGCACGCAAATCAAGAACTAGGAGAAGTAAATCTGAACAAGGCTGAACACTATTATAAATGTGATACCATACAGCAAGGCTATCTAACTTCTGAGTGGCCAGTGTCTGCAACACCCCCAGGCACAAAACCGCAGGGCCTGAATGCATCCCAAGCTACATGCTGTGCCATGTGACACACCCCCAGTTGCACCATGCTAGCAGCCCTGGGTCTCCCAAGCACCCTAGCCACAGGTTCCTGTAGCCCTGTGGGCCATGCCAGGCCACCACGCCCCCAAGGGCTGGGGCGGGCAGAAGCTGGTGAAAGTACGGGGAAATGTGGAGACCGGCAGTGGCAGCAGGTGAACTATGAGGGGACTGGGAGCCTGAGGACTGCAGGTTAACCCCTTGGGGGTCACATGCAGCACAATGGCCACCAGCTGGAAAGCTTTGATATACATAACGTTATACCTTTGCATCCAGACACAAGAATCTATGCTCGTCTTCTGTTCTGGAGTGTGGAAACTGACAATTTTAACCTCCTAAGTGACTGCAGGTTATTGTATGTTCATAACTACTGCCAATTTAATTAAGACCAATTTAACTGTACCATGTAACAGAGACAAGGAGATCATCACAGTCTAACGAAAGAAGTTTACAGCCTTAAAAATATGGTTAGGCTTCACTGCTCATGCAGATGCTCTCTCTTGTACCCACTGCCACACATTTATAAAATTATTATTAGGATAACGAATGACCTACCCACTGCTGCAAAGGAGAAAACTTTCCTGTTACTGCTTTCAAGACTTCTTGGCTAGCAATGCCACCCACTGTTGCAGCAAGAGGAGCAAGGAGTCCCTGAGCAGTCCTAGAGAGCCACTGCACTAGGTTCTCATTCACCTGAGGCTGAAAAACAAGTCACAACAAAAAGGAAAAGCTTTATAAATTAATCCGAAGTCAAACTTAAAAAGAGCTTGGGAGACAGTGCCAGTTTATTTCTTTCCATCCTGAAAACTGACCATTTATATTCACTCTTTTCTTTCTATTTTGGAGCCAATTTCTAATCCATGAGTGGATATTCCCTGTAATCCCATGACTACCTAACTTTGTTAAGCACCTCTGATGGGAAAACTGGACAAAGGCTTTTTGGAAGTCCAAATATATTATGTCAACTTGATCACCGTGATCCATCTGCTTATTCACACTCTCAAGGAACCCAATTTCTCTTTGACAAAGCTATGTTGATTCCTCCCCAGCAAGTCATGTTCATTCATGAGCTGACCAATTATTTTAGTATCATTTTTCCTAGCCTTCTGGGAGCAGAAGTCAGGCTTAATGGCCTGCAATTCCCTGTCTTCCTTCTAGAACTGTTTTTAAGTATAGGAGTCACATTGGCAACCCTCCAGTCCTCTAAAACAAAGGTATACTATCATTAGGAGTCCAGCATATTTAGCTAGTATGTTCAGAGACTAAAAAAGCAGCAATGTTTTAACTAAAAGTGTGTTTTTCCTTGTTTTAGGAGGTTAATGTAAGTGTGGCTACAACACTTCTATTGAACTGAGAAGTATAAAAATGGAGAGAGACAGCCACAGACAGACAATGAGAAGGGGGTATGTCAACTTTGGGTCTCTGGGTTTTTTCATCTTTTGCTCCAACCCAGATGTGGGGGGCAGCCTGGGCCATGGCACATGCAGCCAGTTCCACTGCCTCAGGTGCGGAGGTGGTACCTGGTGCAGAGCGCAGCCTGCCCCATGCGCCGTATCCCCATATGCAGCTCTTGGGTACGCTGGGATTTGTAGTCCATGGGGCTGAGTGGCACGGGGTAGCGTGGCAACCAGACTTGACTTTCCATGGCGATGCCCCCGAGGCAGCAGTTCCCTCTCCCTTACATCCCAACTGCCATTGCCAGCATCTCTGCCGCTGCACTGGTCCCAGTCCCGCTGCCCAGGCACCCCACCCCATCTGCCCCACCACACCCAGTGCTGGGGCAGACAGATGGAGTTGGTGGGCAGGGTCTCTGTGGAAATGAGCCCTGAACCCCTGCAGGCTGTGTGCGCTCAGCTGGGTGGATGGGATGGGGCAGCAGGCAGGTGGGGAGCAGCATCCAGGAGTGGGACAGGCAGGGCTGGGATTGCCGGGTAGTGACGGTGCAGAGCAGAGCTGTGATCCATTCCCAGATGCTGCTCCCTGCCTGCCCCTGGGGGTCCCAGCATGGCCTCCATGGAAACCTGCGAGTCACCTCAAGAGCTGGGATTTCAACTGCACAATTTATGGCAATGGGAGACTGCTTTTGTGCTTTCCTCCTAGCTTTGAAGTTGGGGGAAGCAGAGACCAAAGAGCTACCTGACCCCCCAGATATATTTTTCCTGCTGTAGCAGTGGGAAGGAGACAAATTCAAGGCAAACCTGCAATAAGTATAGTCTATACCTGGAAAATTATAACAAATTTATAAGTTTTCCATATAGACAGTCCAATTACAGGAGGGGTCATCTTATAAATCAGGGCTGTTTTCTAGTTGAGTAAATACGGTATGTCAGTAAAAACATGTCAGTAAAGAAGTTTGCTGTTAGTAAAATAAATAAATAAAGTAAAAATAAAAGTTTGTAGATTTGTCATTTAAGAAAAATGTCTTGGGTTGGCAACCCTGATGTGTGGTCACATTACCCTGTAAGTTTGTTAAAGGTATTTCCTAGGTCAATCTTAAATTCTACAAAGAAACGTGAAGTTAATTACTTCAATTTGGTGCCCCATTGTCCTAAATGATTTCAAGTCTAAACATCAGGAGGCGCTACTTTACTGTCAGGGTGTCTAGGATCTGGAACCAACTTCCAAGAGAAGTGGTGCTGGCTCCTACCCTGGCGGTCTTTAAGAGGAGGCTAGATGAACCCCTTGCTGGGGTCATTTGACCCCAGTACTCTTTCCTGCCATGGCAGGGGGTCGGACTTGATGATCTGCTCAGGTCCCTTCCGACCCTACCTACTATGAAACTACAAAGTCTGTGCTTTGTTATGGGACACCTAAATGATAGTGCTACACTTATAATGATATGTGGGTATATCTGTCCACTCCATCCAGAAGCCTGCCCATTCTGTCCAGGACCCCCAGCAATGGGTGCAGGGCAGACAAGGCCGGATGCAATCAACTTGCACCTCCCCAGTAGGCAATGTAAACAGCCATGACAGGGTGGAGGTCAGATCAGCACCTCCCACACCCCTACAATTCGCCAAAACTCCTTAAGTAGCCTTCCAACCCAAATAACTACCAGCCTCTGAGCTACATCCATGTTCAGCAGCTAAGAATCTGGCCCAGTGTTTTAAAATGAAAATTACACCAAAATGATTGGATAACAACTCCTCACAGACATTACTGCCTTACTCGTATGATTAAATTACTAAAACTGCAGCAGTGTAATGAGCTTCAGAGAACAGCTCCAGAAGTAACTTATGCACATAGCTGCTTGTATAAAAGCAGCTGATACATCAAAACAACCCAAAGTGTAAAGAAAGGGTCAGTAACTAGAACAGGGACAAGGTGTAAAGATTTATCTCACACTATAATAATGCCTACTGGATTAACTGTGTTTATGTTGTAACAGCCAATGCAAAAGTGCAGAGCAACCATTAGCTACTTGAGAACTACTCACTTTGCTTTCCAGCGTTTCACTTACAGATGCTGCTGTTTTCAACATCTCTTCAGCATCTTGCAGGCATCTACAGCCCAAGACAAAAATAAAGATAATTTTGCATTCATAGCATAAATTTCTAAAATAATAAACGCAACAGGACAACTCTGTAACACAGCATTTCTCAACCTGAGGGTCATGACCCAAAAGTGGGTTGAAAGAATATATGAAAGGGTCATAAACAAACTTTAAACTTGGGAAACTGGCTTTTCCCTTGCAGGCTGTTAGAGTTCCAGCCTGAAAGGGGTTGCTTAGGGGCCTCCCAGGCCCCACACACCCACCCCCTGCCCCACACAGCGAGGCTGGGAGTGGGGGGCAGTGGGTCAGGAATGAGGAACACTGGGTGGTGTTTACAAATAGGTCCTGGTACAAAAAAGTTTGAGAACCACTGCTGTAACCCACTTGAACAAAAAAAAAAAAAAAAAAAAAAATAGCTAAGAGGACTTGAAATTTTTCCCATTTAATAGTAAAAGCATTGAAAACACACTTTTATGATTTAAGTTTTAAGTTTAGAAACTGGTGTCTATTGGCCACACTAACACAGAAGGTTAATACTGGTATTTATGCACTCAAGGCACAAATAATGCTTTAACTATTTTGAAACAACTAGACTCATATCAGACTTTAAACTGCTGAAAGCTATTTATGACCCTGTGTGAATTTACTGTTAGTCAAACTTGTAGATAGACATCCAATGTCAAACCATCATGACGGGAAGGGAATGCTTCTGGGGAGAAGTCATTTGATACATTCTCTGCTAGGAAGTGAAACAGTCATGACTGGGGTGGCTTTGGAGAATGCCCCATGTGCCAAAACCAAACAACATAACAAAATAAATGCCTGTGAACAGCCAGTAGATAGTTACTTTTTATCATTACTAAATTAGTTGAGATTTGAAGTGACCTAGAGGTGAAAAACATGATGTGCCAAACTAACAACAAACCCATTCAATAATTATTTCACACTGAATATTAAATGCGTTAAGCATCAGAGGATTAACTAGGTTTATTAAAGACTGTCAAGAGTTTGTAAAACACAATACCACTAAAATAGCATTACCCAGTGTTTGGTACGCGTCCAAAATTTTCCTGGAACTGGTTCAAGGCAAGCATGGCAGCATGTATCTGCAAAGGTGCCTGTTAATGAGGTAAAAAAAAAAAAGAGGCACTGATTTGTTATGTGTAATCAAAAAAAACAACTTGAAAAGCTTGACACTTTTCTCTTCAGTTTCAATTCCATTCCAACTAGTTCACTCCTTTCTCTAATGGTCTGAACCTCCCTCCCCAACTGTACACTTCAAAGCATACTTACTGTACACCATTTAGAAAAAAAAAAGTTATGATCTATGAAGCTTTCCACCCTCAAATTATGAGAAATCTAGTTTCTAAAGAAACCAAAAGGAGCAACGTGCCATTTACCTCGGGTTTGCTAAAATCTGCAACAAGGCAAGTTGGATTTGTTAACTGCTTCTCCAACCGATCCTAAAAGAAAGATTTGATTAAAATATAATACATCAAATTATGAACGCATCCTGCTCTGTTATGTAGTTTTCTCCCACCTCATTCATAGCTAACAGTGGTAACTAATGTTATTACCCCACAACTGAAGGATTAAAAACTGCACATTCCCTTTTTTCCCCCACCAACCTTTTTTCTATTACCTTTGTTTCACTATCTTTATAGAAATGATACTGTATTAATATTTTTCTAGTTGGAGGTAAAGGTTCTTCTCAAAGTTTTTCTTCTTAAGACCTGATTTTTTTTACCAGTTTCATAGTCAACTAGCTAAAACAATTTCAGCAACATCCAAATGACTGCAGTTACTAAATATTTTACAAACAGCCATTTGTGCACTTACAAAACCATTACAAATACAAGGCTGCTTTTATCATCGAGTACAGTTGTATTCTTCTCCTACCAAACCAAATGCCATTTCTAGTTGCCCATTAAAAATTAGATTTTACAGATTTTTGTTAGAGCTATTGGAATCCTATGGGAACAATACTTTTAAAAAAGTAAGACAAGACCAGGACCTGGTCTTCAGAGACAAGAAACCACACTACCCTACCACACTATCTAGCTGCAAGATCCCAACTACTGAAGGGGTCATTTACAATAGTAACAGCAATTAAGACCATATACCTATATTCTGCTGTAGACTACACAAATAATGTAAAAGAAAACTGGATAGGTACGGTGGGATAGCAGGCTAACCTTTCACCTCTAAAGAGGTCTAAAGATGTAGGTTAATAATTTGGTCTTAAAATGATTCAAATAGTGCCTCACTGTAGATCTGCTATACCTGTTCACATGTACAGATTTGATACCACCATCTTGTTCCTCCTCTATATGACTTTAAGAGCACTATATAATTTTCAGGCTTCCTAACCAAGATATTTCTACAATATTCCCTTGAAGTAGAGTTCAAAGGAAGTCTATCAAACATTTAGATGTACTGTCTGATGGATAACAAACCGAGGCTGTATGTTTGAGGGCAGTAATCCCCACAATTAAATCTACCGCAATTGTTAATTCTGTAAACTCAGAAAAATAGTGTCATCCTATCCACACTATTTATACATCCCTATACATAACTGCTCGAGCTCTCATTCTGCCTCTTAAAAACATTTTCATCTGAAAAGAAGTATACTGTACCATGTGAACACTTACAAAGCAAAATGTTTTGGGGGTCTTTACTTGAACAGCTATGCCTCCATGTAAGTAAGGCTCCATATCTGAAGTATTCCCAATGCTGAAAGAATAAGGTGAAACCACTGAAGAGAGAAAGAGATGTATGTTATCTGAGTGACAATGACATAATAAACAGCTTAAGCGCTGATGTAATTCTATTTCTCTGAAAGGTACTTATCTTCTACAAATATTGTACCCTCACTGCTGCTTTTAAAAGTATAATTTCTGTAATTCAGTCCTACTACAATAATAAGTATAGTTTACCCATTTCCACAGGTATCAGATTGTTTTAAAACTAATACTTTAGGCAGTAGTGCACAACCTTTTACCCCATGGCTAGAACTGGGGCTGGCACGGTGGGGACTTGATCTGGTTGCCTAGGTGGGGTGGGGCAGGGGCAGCACAGTACCAATCCAGACACAGGGGCAGGGGTGGCAGGTAGCAGCATGTGTCGGGTGGGGGCAGGATGGAGACGGGGATCAGCCCAGCAATCCAGACAGGCAGGGGATGGGCCTGGCCCTGATCCTGCTATGCAGCAATGGTCCAAGTGGGGCTGGATCCGGCTTCCACTGCTTCCCTGCCACCGAATTTCCCAGCCTGTAGAGCTCCCTGTGGGCCAGGTGGCATGGCTTTGGAAGCTGGATATGGCCTTTGGGCCAGGGGTTGAACCACCCCTGCTTTATGCTACTACCCAGAGATACACCACCACTTTGCAGGTGAAGTGTAGCATGTGTATATGCACTTGCATTGTCAGTTCTGGTCATATTTTTTATAATGAAAAGAAAATGTGTACCCTTAGCTTTACTTAGGTTATGCATAATATGAATGGAAGAGGTATCCTAACCTGCTAGAGAGCAAGACAATCTAGTACAATCAATATCCATGGATTTTTATATGAACACATAGGCTCAGCACCACAGCAGAGCAACTTGAGGAAACAAGGAGGAACACTTTAAGGCATGTCCTTCCCCTAGTCGTTAAATCATCATTTAATTAAATAATATTGTTCAGGACAAGCAATGGGGCATAAACTGAAAACCAAAAGGCTGAGCATCAGGTGAGACTTGAGAATAAGTGGAAGTTGGGGAAAGAGAAACCACAGGTCAATGTTCTGGATCTACAGACCTTACCTTGCAGACTGTACAATAAGGGCACGTCTACATGTACATTTTAGTGAGCATTAGCTTATTTTAATGTGCATTAAATAATTACAAAAATCCATGCTCTTTAGCTAATGTACATTAAAATAGGCTAATGCGCATTTTTCTAGTACTTCACAATAAAGGGTACTTTTACATGTGCTCTATGGGTGAGGCGGTAGAGTGCAGTGCTTTAATTAGAGCAGCTCCAAGTGCTGCTCTAATTAAAAGTGCCACCATGTCTCCTGTATCAGCATCCCCATGATTAAAAATGGTGGCGGGAGGCACTTGACCTACAGTTCGTTCAATGCGTTTTATCAAGCACCCCCGCCACCATTTTTAAGCACGGGGAGACGCAGGAGGCTGCTGAGCTCGGCAATTGCCATGCTTCAGCAGACTTGATTAATCGGGTCTGCTCTGATGCACTAGAATTCCAGCGCATTGGAGCAGCCTCTGCAGTTGTGTATAAGTGCCCGGAGGCACTAGAGTTAAAGCGCATTACTTAAAGCACATTATTGAATGTGTAGACACCCCCTAAGATTTGGATAAAGTATCTCTCAAAAATGATTATGTGATGAGATTAAACACAGGCAGATGTCACCATAAGTGAAGCACTATCATTTGGAGGTCCCATAAAAAAGATCTAAAGCACAGACTTGAAATCATTTGACACAATGGGGGGGCACCAAACTGAAGTAATCAACCTTACATTTCTCTGCAGAATTTAAGATTGATCTTGATAATTCCTTTAACAATCTTATGGGGTAATGTGACTGCATATTCGGGTTGCCAACACAAGATTTTTTTTTTTTTTTTAAATGAAGGAAGAGCACACACCAACTGCTGAAACTTCCTTAGCCTGACGAAGGGTTTTTGAACTCAAAAGCTTGCTTAATAACTATTCTCCAACTATCTGGGTTGGTCTAATAAAAGATATCAAATTCACCCAAGGAACCTTGTCTGCCTATTTTCTACAAACAATTTTTTTTTAAACCAACAGCAAACTTCTTTACTGACATTTTTTATTGACCTACCATATCATAATTATACCCCGATTATAAGACCACCCCCTATGGATTAGATTCTCTATATGGAAAATGTATAAATTTGTTATAATTTTCCAGGTATAGAATCTAATTATTGGAGGTTTCCCTGACATTTGTCCCTCTCCCACTGCTATAGCAGGGAAAATATATCTGGGAGATCAGATACCTCTTTGCTCTCTGCTTCGCCCCTCAACTTTAAAGCTAGGAGGAAAAGCACAAAAGCAGCCCCTCACTGCCATAAAACTGTGCAGTCAAGATCCCTGCCCTTAGGGAGACTCACAGGGATAGCCTGCCTCACCCTGTCACTAGGGACATACCCAAATTGTGATTATGTGGATTTTGCAGAAACTGAGAAAATTGGGGTGGATGGTATAATGCAATACATTCCCCTTAGGAAAGCTCTTATCTGGAGCCTCTCCTCCTTTTGTGCTTCCTGGGTCATATTTAGCCTGATTTTTTTTCCCTGACAGACAACCTTGCCAAACATGCTGTGACCGATAAATTCAGCTGAGATAGATGTGTTTGAGTGATATCAGAAGCTCAGTTCTAAAAAACACTATATGCCCAAATAGTGCAAATGGTCCCATACCAAGTGGTTTCCACAGTGTTCAAACTTTCCTCATCAGAAATCCTTCCATGCTTCACCTCATGCCTCAGACCTCTGCAAGCAAAACCACTGCTGCAAATCAGTATTCAATTCACATATCAAAATTCTTTCTGCTATGATCACAGCAGTACTGAAAATAGGAAAAGGGCCGAAAAAATATGTTTTATTGGTTGATATGTAAACAAGTAAAACAAAAGACACAAGGCTTACCTGTTATTTGATGTGTGGATCCATTTAAACATGACATTCCATTAACTTCCCGGAAGGTTAAGAACTGTCCAGTTTCAAGCTTGTGAGGATGGTTTTCAAGGCAGGTAACTATACCAGGATTTGACTAAAGATCAATATTAATAACACAGTTAGCAAGGAAGAAATTTCCTTTAAATCCGATTTGCACGCTTCTTGCTTGTAACTACAACCATCGCAGCACATCTATACAAGAATGGCTTACTAAGGTTAGACACAGTGAGGTTAAAAAGGAGCACTTCATTCAACAAGCATGCCAAAATTAAAAACAAGGGGCTTATCTGTGTTAAAAAGATTGGATTTTATTATGGGTCTGATAGACTAGTCTAACACTTTGCTGTCTGGTATATTTGGACTGTTATCCTTAAATTCACAAGAGTTTTAAAACAAATCACAAGATTATTCCTTAAGCACTGTCCTTAGTACAGTAACTGAACTTAAAAGTAGGTCTCTCAACAATTCTCTCCTTACTGTAATTTCAGTGAAGAAAGTTCATACGCCACCCCTCCCCTAAAAGGGTAAAATTGTAGAAACAAACTTAATTGAAAAATGTAGGCAGCTTGTATAAAGATTTTAATTATTTTTCAATTACATGGCTTTTGTGTATATAACTCACCTTATTTTAGACCTCCTTTTGAGGGGTGGAAGGAAGGGAACCCTGCATTTTATATACCAGAAAATAAGGTATTTGCACACATTTTTATGAATCTTACCAAACAAGGTAGAGTTTTGTATCCTCAGTTATAAGGAAAATCACTCTCAACATTGGAATCATATGCTAAAGTTAAGACTGTGTCAGCAGATACTAGAAAATCATCTTGTTTCACATTGCTCTAAGTGCAATGTGGCCAGATCAGCGCTCCGAGCATAGACAATCCAAATCAGAGGATCAGGACAATTCATGCACCGAGGCTGCAGGGAAACAGACGTCACCTGCAACAAGCCCGGATCAGTGCCCTGGCCCCAGCTAGTTCTAGTGGGTGGCCAATCCCTGAAGCCACAGATAAGCCCTGCCCACTCCAGCCTTAAAAGGCTAGGGCTAGCCTGAAGTACTCTGTCCAGACAGTAAAGACTGAAGTACTTGGCTCTTGGCCCCCTCTCCCTCCCATTTGCTTCTGCTTTGTTTCCTCTTATTAGATCTCTGAGTTTGACTCTTGGTTTGGCCTGTGATTCTGTTAGGTGATGAGCCTCAAATGACCATGCCATGATTCCTAAATTAACAGATGCTGGTGCTACTGTAGAAAGAGTTAAGTAGTTTCTGTTGACTCAGAGCAAGGTAGTTTGTTGCTCCATGCCAAAGATAAGGGAGAAAGTCCTACAGCAGGACTGTTCAACATTTAAGTCCCCAAGGGCCACCCACCCCAGGAGCCACACAAGTGGGAGCTGCATTCTGCATGGGTCACAGAGGGTGAGCCATGAACCACAGAGCCACTTGATGTGTGGATACCGTCCCCTTCCCTTGCTGCTCTGTATACCTGTGCAAGCACTCCTATCCCCCTCACTGCTGCACAGAATTCAAATGTTGGTGCACATAGCTCTGGGTTAGTTTCTCTACCAGGAGAGCAAACCTGGGAGAATTCTTCCAGATTATTTGAATATGTGTATGCAGCTTAAGTCTCTCAATAATTTGGTGGGGGACAGGACTTATGCCACCTCCCAAGAGAGACTAGACATGCTGCTGACAAAGGAACCTCACCCACCCATGTCAGCCCTACCCATTCAGGGGCAACACATTTGCAGAACAGATCTTGAAGCAGCCCTGACCATCCTGTCCTGCATGCTCAGAGCTCCTCAGCATGATGCAGGTCCTGGGAAGCACGTTTGCATCTTCTGGATGTCATTATACTTCACCCAGAGAGATGCCAACTATTTTACTGCTACTTCTCTGAAGTAAGACACACTTCTCTAAAAGACACTAATAAACAGAAAATTCTAAAGCACTGGATAGAATTAAAGTAATACAGAAAATTCATTTCCAACAAACCCTAGGATTCAATCAATTCTATATTTGAAGAAAATTCTTGGGCACTATCCCCTTTTTCTGCCACATCCTTATCAAGCTTATAATTCTTCATCTCCCTCCATTCTCACCCTCCTCCCCACAAAATATTCCATTAAATCAGTTCCCAGCACACTATTTTTTAAATGGGGGGGAGGGAATTAATAAATAGGATTTTTTTAAATCCAAACAGATTTATTAAAATGTTAAGTTCAGAGTGATAAACATGTGAAGGACAAGCTATGGTACATGTAAATACACTATATGCTAAAGCAATAAGCTCTCTTTAAACTTAGGTTCAATTATGTTTTAATTATAAGAAACATCAGGGAGAAAAACCCACCCTTAATTCTTGAAGTTAGTTCAAACTTTATAAGTATATATATATGTGACTATATTTGTCCTGTGCTACATTATTTACAAATCCACTTTAGTATTTTTACAATGGAGTGAACGCTGGTATTACTTTCAGCTTCTCTTACCCCACAGCTACACCTTTCCAGACTACTTTTTCCAGTCTTTTAGCATTTTAGAATATAATCCCCTCTTGTGGATATCAGTATTACTGAAGCAGTCTATAAAAAAAGACCCTATTTGGGAATATTTACAATAAATTCTGGTATTTCTGGGTAAATAAGCACACAGTGTCAAAATACACAGAGTGTAAAGAGAATCAGTAATTAGTAAAATTTTTAAAAATAAATAAATAAAAATCAGAAGAATCATCCCCAAGGGATAAAAATTTAGATTATTATAATCCATAACTAACACTCTATTCTTTAAAATAACTTCATTATTTTACTTGACTGTCAATTAAATACATTCATATAAAAAATACTACTAAATGATAACGGTCTTGAAATGAAATGTCATAAATTTGTATTTTGAGTCATAAATTGAAAATAACTTTGTGTTTAAAAGATAATTGATATGTTAGTTTAGAGTGTTAAATATACCTTTTCATGACATCTAGTTTAGACATAATTAAGATAGGGTCAGCCAATTGTGGCCAACCTTTTTGGCTGTTGTGCCCACTAAAAGCACCATACCTGACCGAGTTTACAGCTAGGGGTGCCAGAAAGGAGACAGTGGGGCTCGAGCCTCTGGCTGTGCAGAACAGAGTGGGGGCAGGAGGCTGCTGCAAGAGAGGTGTTACTGCTAAGAGCCAAATTAACCTTTTCCTGATTCCACAACCGTCACGGTTTTATATGGTGAGCAAGGATCCAAAGCCCTGAATCCAGCATTGGCTACAGGGCCAGGGAAGGGTTTACCTGGCTCTTGGCAGTGACACCCAACACCTGCATTCCCAGCACCATCCAGCCCATTTCAGTGCCACTCCATGCAACCTAAGGCTGGTGCCTCCTGCCTCAATTCCAGCATCTCCCTCTACTATGCACCGAGGGCTTGCATGCCACACAGCAGCTCTTCAGGCTGTTAGTGACATTGTGTCATGGGTTGGCTACTCCTGGTGCAGGCAATGGCTGTTGACTAACTAACAACCCGAGTTACCTGCTGGTACCAGCAGATAGTACCAAATCAAAAAAACACACAAAGCAGTTTTGGATGGCCTTGTAGTCACAAGCAGCAGGTTTCAGAGATTCTGTAGTTAAAAAAGGTTATTAGGTCATACACATACATTTTTTCCCTTTTAACATGTTCAAAACAATGCTTACGCTTCACCCAGAGAAGATACTGCTGGATAGTTGCAAGATATACATGTAAAAATGAAACAGAACAGTAGACAATACAGTTTGAAAGTCAAAGTATTAACCTGAGCAGTGAATGATGGAGCAATGTACAAAATGATCCTGTAATATACGCTTAAGTGCCAAAAAAAGGCAAAGTTTATCACAGACACAATTAATGTATATGGGCACTTCTCAGTAGAGCACAACCCTTAAAAGTGTCAACACTAACAGCTATAACAAACTGTGAGCAAAAATTCAAGCATTGCAGGCACAACACTCTCACAACAATGCTGAAGAGGTAAGAATAACTACTTCAAAAAGGGTACTGCAAATAAGCAACAAGTCTTCAAGGAACACAAAAGAGGTCAATCAGCAAAGAAACTATGTAGTTGGGATCATAAAGCATAGGGCTAAAGTAAAAAATTGCCAGAAATCAAGCTGAGTTGGACCTTCCTGCAGCTCTACTATCCCCACAGGGAGAGGAAGGTAGAGGGGAGAAGTAAGCAGGGGTCTACTAGGATCCTAACTCTCCAGCTCTACAACTCTCCTCTCCCCCTTTCAGTGGAGGGGAGATACAGAGGGGTTTGGGGTTGGATAGCCCCGCTCTGGTAGCAATGGGAGCCTCCAGGACTCCAGAGGGGGTAAGCCTGGATCTGGCAACGGACGTAAGAAATGATCTAGGCATGGCACAGAATCCAGCAGTGATCTAGTAGCCTGATATCTGGCAAGCTGTCCACCCCTCTATCCCCCATGGAGAAGGGATGTATGTGGGGGAGGATTCTAGAAGATTTTTGGGTGCCCTGTCCCAATGCACAAATAACAAAAAATGAAACCCTTCAAAATAGTACCTCTGCGACACTATACTGGAGCACTTCAGTGGTGTTTGGCACCTTTCAAAGGGCATGTATGGTTATATCGCTGGCCATCTAAAACAGTTCAACTGTTACTTCTGTCTGCACCCTAGGTGCATCAAAAAACCGAAATGAATACTTGGCGTCACTTTTCAAAAAGGATGAGAATGTTGAAAGTTGAGAGCTTGAAGCACTCAAGTCAGGAGATTGGATAATGTCTATCCTGGAATTCAGAAAGAGTTGGCATATGAAATTACAGTATGACAGCAAGGATTTTTAATTAATCTATCAAGTTGGCATCATATGATTGGAGAAACAGCAAATGTAGTACCTATATTTATGGTGAAAAAGTTACCCAGGCAACTGGGACAGTTGGACAGTTAGTCTGACTTCAATAGTAAGAACACTTTAGAATAAAATTTGAAAGAATGCTTAGAGATGTGGGTGTAAATGAAAATGGGACAAAATACAGTGTGGGTTTACTAAAAGTAGATCCTGTCAGACTATTCTGGTATCCATCTTTGACAATAACTGATTTTCTAGATGAAGGAAATGCAATATAGTTATCTGGACTTCAGTAGAGCAGCTGATACATTATCACACGGGAAGATGAACTCTAAGGCAGGTAAAGAACTGGCTAAAGGTAAAAGAAACAGGTAGTGCTAAGAGATGTAGTATTGGGAGGTTATTAATGGAGTTCCTTAAGAATCTGGGGACATATCCTGTTTAATATTTTCATTAGCGACAGACTGGAAATTAGAAGCAAGTTTCTAATCATGAGAGATATGAGGTTCTGAAACAGCTTCCCAACAGGAGCATGAGCAGTAGGTTTACGCTAGAACCTGGCAAGTTTATGAAAGATGATGCCACCTTCTGGAAGAGAAGATGGAACTTGATGACCCAAGATGAGCCCTTTGCTCCTATGTAAATAATCTGAAGATGCTTTATATTTTTTTCTTTTGCATTGACTGAATTGCTGTTTGTGTTAAACTGCATTTGGATGGAAATTTCAGGTAAAAGTTACCTAGTCAGCAAATTGTATCATTCATCATTTTCTAAAATAATATATTTTCAAGGAGTATGTTAAACTACATAATTGTTTAAATAAATGTGTGTAGATACAGTATTAAGGAGAAATGAGGATCTAGTTCCACCCTCAGTAAGCATCAGAGCCCTCTATCCAGATAAAATAAAATGTGCTATTCACATGCATGTAGCTTTGTTTAGACCAGTGGTTCTCAACCTTTACTGTAAGGGTATCCTTACTGATTTTTCTTAATGTGGCAGCACTCCCAGTTGCGAATCACTACTTGCCACAAATCACCTCAGTAGCTCTCAACCGGGTGCCACTGCCATCAGGTATAACTACTCTGTGTGCCTGTTGCACAGCCAGCCCGTGACATGCTGTGGCATGCTCCCATGCTTCTCTGGTGTTGGTGTTCTCCAATAACCCTAAAGCAGGCAGGAGAGCTGGCTCGTGCTGCAGCTCTTCCCAGTCCAACCCTGCATAATGTCTCCCCAAAAGAAGTGTGCAGGACAGGTGGAACTGTCCTGTACATCCCTTTCTGGGAGAAGTTGGGAGTGGTAGGGGGTGTGGACCTGGAAGGGCTACAGCACAGGCTTACTCTCTTGCCTGCTTTAGGGCTATCAGAGAACAGCAATGCAGAAGGAGTGCCCATGTGCAACTGCCCTACTTGTGGGGCAGTTTCATTTGGCTACCTGTCTTGCAGCAACTCATTTGAAAACCATTAGTCTAGACTAAGCTCCTTGTCACTGTCCTTTTCCTCCCATCCATATTCCCAGGCTTATGATGTTTAGAGGGGTATATCCACAAGACAGATTCATGTGGTACGTGGATATACACCCTCCCAAATCCCAACCCTTTGTATTATCCTGCACATGACTGATTTCCCATATGAAGTTTATATGAAAACTGAAAGCATACCTCCTCCTAGCTTAAGTCAAGTTAGAATTTGAGAAGTCAGATCAAAGTAAGACAAAATATCAATCCAAGATGTTTAGGAAAAAAAACATGAAAAAGGAAAAGGAATTGTGAACCTGATGCTTCCAAATTATCATTCTGCTTATATATTAAAACTTTTCCCTCAAGTTCAGTTTAGCTTGTAAGCTTCTGGGAGGCTGGATCCATCATATATTATGTATCTATATTGTTCTGGGGAATTGCTATAATTGCACGTAGTGTAACAGTAGTATAAAGTGGGGTAGGCAAGCAGGGCATGTGGCCCAAGTAATGCCTAAGGGGAGAAACACCAGAAGGACAAAGGGAAGGGAGACCCTTACCCCAGAACTACTTACTAGTCTACCTCACTGCTGCCTTGCCTTCTTCTGCTAGTACCTTCCATCTGCAAGAAGCAGCCAGCACAGGCAATGGGTGTCATACAGTGCAAAGCATTCTGGGAAACTTTTTTAGAGCAGCAGTGGAGTTTCCTACTGCTGGGGGCTGAATTGACCCCCACTTTTTGCTGCCAAAGTCAGCATTTTTTTTTGCCCTCTGGACATGGGCTTTGGTAACAACAAAATGGGGTGAAAATCTCTCTCCGGCAGCAGTAAACTCCACTGGCCATCTACAGAACTAAGGTTCCCAGAAAGCCTTGTGCTCCATGACACTACCTGGCCTGCTGCTCTTCCTGTACCTATGGGGGGAAAACCCATGGCAGCGCAGGGTTTGCCCCCCGCCAAGGGATGGGGGTATCCTTACCCATCTTCTGGCTGGAAATTCAGGTCGCTGTCAGCTGTGACTGCTGGGCTGTGGTTTGCCAGACTGCGGCATAAAAACTTTGGGAACCCCTGCCTTATTCTATATACCACCTACCTACCTATGCTCTTGTATTTATGAGACTCCCAGCAAACACCCTCCCACAGTCCCACATGCAAAGAGCCTTGCATACCTCACTGCAAATAGAGTCTCACTTCTGCCAGTCTGGGAGATAACTCATGCTGGGTGTCAAAATATTAAACTACAATGAGAGGAGCAAAACTAAACTGAGGGTATGGCTATGTTGGAAGTTATTAGTGCTTGTAAACTGAAAAACCTGTTGCTGACACAGAATTAAAGAAGAGGTGAATCTTTCTTGGTCTATGAATAAGAGTATAGGCCTCAATTTGCCCCCAGTTTTCTCCTTACAAATATCAAAAGGTCCTACCCCTGATGTTCAAGGAATATTCCTTGCAATTTTGGAGTTTATCAGCTGAGACACTAACACTGACACCATAGAACACCAAGCTCTGGTTCACTCTCCCAATAACACAAAATAAATTGTCTCATAACAGTGTGATGATATGCACCCCTTACCTGTGTTATGTTTGAAATGAAAATTTCCTTTGGTTCCTCTCCCGTTGTATCCAGCACTTCAAATTCATCACCAAAATCACAAAACAAACGTGAACATATTCCATAGACATCCGCACTGACAAACTACAAAAGAAAGTACAAATGAACATGATTACCAGGTAACCAAACAGAAGTAATTTCTTAGCATTCCAAAATACTACCTACACAGCTAAGGAAGGTGCAAATTTTGTTCTTTTTTTCTTGAAGTGAAGCAACCAGACATTGTACCCATTTATATAGTGATAGAATCTGGCCCTCCATCAATTTGTCTAAACGAACATCTATAAATAGAACTAAGGATGGTATTAGTCCAATTGAGAAACAACAGAAAGAGTGCTTTCCATCTCTTGAATATGGTCTCCCCATATTCTCGTTGAATTAAACTCACCCCATCATATACATTGTGAATCTGGCCTGTCTTCTACAGAAGCAATTTTTCATTGAGCTCAGGGAAGTACCAAGAAGTGTTCTAACTCCCTTTTATAAAATTTGGACAGAAATCAAGAGCAGGCCAGGAAATGGTACTATAAAAAGCAGCATCCCCCCCAGAGCCAACAGTATACCAGTAGAGTGGTGACTGGGAAAGGCAAGGTGCTGCAGATAGTACAAGAGGCACTGAAAGAATCCTCTACATGTAGATCAATACAAGATGATCTGTCCCGATTAATTCAATGGTCACTATTTGAAATTACCTTAATAGGTGGGTGTTGACTATGGCAAAAATCATTAATCTTCTTTTGCAGTGACAGCCTCATCTCAGTCAGTATGACGCACTGTCGACAGAAAGGTGCAAGCAATGAGGTCTAGATGTTGATGTTAGAAACTATCAATATAAGCTAAATTCAACCTTGATAAATTCTAAGGTTTTTCACACACACTGACCAGAAAAGCATGTCTCTGCTGCGCAGATTTAGCAATCAATGGGTATGTCTACTCACTCATTAATACACCTTTCCTACTGCACATTAAGTTTAGTACTTCTAATACAAGATACTATATGAATGCTCAGTAACTATGCTAGTTCACAGTAGCAAAGGCAAACTTATTTGTGATGCTTAATGCACAGTAGATTAATTCTACTGCGCATAAGCATGGTTTTTGATGTGATGTGCTAATGCGCAGTAGAATTAGTCTACTGCACATTGGGCGTGTCTGCATGAGACGCTTAATTTGAAGAGATTTGCTTCTCTCATTTTAACTCTATTTTACAGAATCATTCCAGGAGAACAATAGTTATAAGTGAGGAGTCATTCCATTTACATGACCCATTACTCACAAGTCTGATAAAGTTCAAATCCTGCCTCAGACTATTTAAAAAACAATTAGTCACAGTTACTCTCTTTCTAAAAGAGAAAACATTAGAGGCAAAAAGGTACATTAGCACAATCAGCAAGTTAAAGAAAGTCCCAACATTGAGAAATGAAAGGGATATTGGCTTAGTGCCTTTAATAAAGTCTGTATATATTGGAACGCTTGTACGCAACAGACTTGTAGACACTTCAAGTGCTGGGCATAGCTAAACTGCAAGCACACTATCAGTATGCAAACATATGTTAAACAATTTAGGGTACTGCTTCTACTGCAACATTAATTTGGCCATGCAGCATATAGGTATCATTTTTCATTCCTGTTTTTCCAGCCTGTTAGAAAAGGTTTATAACACAGCAAGGGCCAGTTCATTTTCTGTCTCTGAATTTAAATCATGAGACAATCTGCCATTTAATGATTTATTGATACCTTTCATTTCAATGAAAGGAGCACAAAAATAATGACATGGACTTTCAACATTGCAAGATGTCCATTAAAACGTTATTAGTTCAGGAATTAGATCCATTTGTCCGGTTTTAAAGTTAATAAAACCTTCTAGTGTTATCATCTAGTCAAAAAAAAAAATCCTTCCCCCAAAACGTTGTTTACTCTGGGGAAGTAGAAAGTTACACAGCCATGTTAAATAAATATTACATACCTGATACTGTTTTAAGAAAGATAGGTCTGTGGTCTCATCAAGTGGTGCAGTTGATGACACAACATGGACATATGGGTTGAGTTCTGCAACGTGAGGAAGTGCCGCCTCAGCTCTGAAATGATTTTCAAATTTGCATCCTTTAATATGTATTATTTATATAGCTAATTAGAGTGTGCACTAATTACCAGGCCCCCTTGTTTCTTATACTTTCTTTTACAATGATCACAACCAACTTCCTATGCTTTTTCATATTTAGAAGTGTTCTACAATACATACCCTGAAGATTCTCGTGCCATCAATCTGACAGCAAGATTTACAGCATGACTACTAACTCTGAAACGTATTTAGGAGAGCAAGAGACCACAACTAAGCTGTCCACTGGCTTTATTTAGCCAGCCTTGCAGTTGGAAAAGAAATGCATTTCCCTGTTTCCATAACTAGATTTAGAAAAAAAAAAACATTTGCTACCTATAACTAGCAATATGTTTCCGTGTATCCACACACACACACAAATTAGACAGACAGCCCAAACACATCTCAGTCACTTTAATGCACTCCTCCTTGACAAATGGGCACTGCATTGGAAGGCAGTAATGTCCATAGAACAAAACTGCACCAGATAAACTACATAAGATACTTCATAGCCAAATGACAAAGTCAACATAGTTATGCATAAGTTAAAGATGGGTCATTGCTTGGATATATCTAAAAAATTGTATTTACCTGTTCCTTAAATTGAGAATATCATCTTCATGGATGAAAAAATTGCTTCCCAAATCCCATATTTTGCACTGCTTGGTGTCATGAACCGTAAGAGCCTTCAGATGAGATAAAAGGGAAAGGTCGGTTAAAAAAAAAAACAAGTTAAAGCATTATTTGAAATTAGTGCATACATGCACAGAACATTCAAATGTACATATCAAGTTTAGTCCTGAGATTCTGAAGCAATACTACTGCAGCAAGCCTAAATGCACTACATAAAGATGCAAAATGTACAGTAGTGATCTATTGCATTCAATTTCACTGTTTCCCACTGTTGCTGAAAAAAGTAAGTTAGAGAAATGATAGGTATTTTGCTCAGCATATAACATAACAATAATGCTTCCTGGGAGTATAACCTTATTCACAGTTACTCTTTATAGGCTTAAAAAATGATAATAGCAATATTTTTGACTGAAAAATAGAAGATTCCCTCTCTAACCCACAAGAAACTTCTTATGGGTTGCCCGAGAGTTACAAGGCCAAGGAATGTGTTCCCTTTACTGTTATTCTGCAGCAAAACCTGGATGATTAAGACAACATTCAGAAAAACTAAAGCTGGTTGTGTTGTGTTGCCCTTAAGCATGACTGGTATTGCTGTCAAGGAACTGGCTTTTACAAAAAGGCAAAGGTATCTTTTTGTTTTTTAATGAAAAAGCATGAACAAAGAATAATTCACTTTGAACAAGATTAGAAAAAGCTACCTATTTCAATCACAGCATAGACAGAGGCTACACTGATCAGAATAAAAATTAGAAACCCTAGGCTCAGCATATAATTTACTTTATCGAATGTCACCGTGGCCGAAAACATAGATATTTGATCCTTTGGTAATAAAACAATTAAATGGCACATTCCAGAGTGCTTTTCAAAAGACCCTTTTATTAGAAATTACTATAGATTTCTTTCACAATCATTTACATACCTTTATACCAGCTAGAACTACATTCTTAGCTGCAAGAGAGAGAGAGAGAAAATAGCGTTTATAATATTCTTGTACAGTAATAAGTAACTAAAGCGATTCGGACAATAATGACATTGATTGTTCATTTTATGTTCATAAAAGTTTCACAGTTCACACCAATCACATTTTCTTAATAACTTAAAAAAAAAAAGGCAATTCAGCTCTCCTGTAGATATTTCAATGCAACAGGAGCTTTTTAACCAATTAACAGATCCTCTAATGAATTCTCAGTTGGCCAGTTATGGCCAAATTCCAGCTACTTTGTGTCACTCATAGGGTAAAGATACAAGCTTATAGTTTTCAGTTCATTTAACTGCGCAAAGATAACATTAAAAGGGTCTATTATGATAATTCAGCTAGATCTCCTGCACAGCAAGTTCAAAAGAAATATCACCCAATAATTTTGAACAATGTATTTAACGACAAAGACAAAAATACATTTGTAAGGCATTTTAAACCACACACACCTACAAAAAAATGAGAGCACACACCTATTTACTCTGATTTAACAGTATGATTCAGCTGTACCGTTCAGGAGGTACATGAAATTTTAAGTGTAGTAGATTTTAGGATATAACTTTAAAGTACTCCTGAAGGGTACACACAAATAATTGATGCTTTTTTATTTAAATAAAAGTTACCTAAACTTACCAATCTCCACACCAAGGCCACCCATACCACTCAGGAACACATTAGATTGGGCCATCTTCTGCATTGCTGAGTCTCCAAGGACGTATCTCTGCCGACTATATGCAAGAAAAATGTATATTAAAAACAATGAATAAATAGAATTTCTATATTAAAGTGAGGTACACCCAAAGGTTCTAAAACATAGATGGATTTTCCCCAATACATTTTCAACCCCCCCCACAGCCTAGGTTCTGACAGCCAAGCCATTTCCTTTCTGTCTCCAACCATCAACAATAACAAGTGCTGCAAAACTAAGTTATATCATTGTTAACGCACTTGCAATTGCATTAGCCATTGAAGGGTTTGCCCAGGGGTATATGAAAACATTTTGAAAAACCATGACTGTAAAGTAATTTGGTACATAAATGGGCTTTCAGAACTCCATGACAGCAATAAATGCAAGATGGGGAAAAAAGCCCATTTTAATTTCATAAACTGAGGCAAGTTTGTGAAACTAACCCCAACGGACATCTCTTATTTGCAAACTCAGCGAATTTAAATGGAAAACAAATCTGTGATACACAAAGATTATGGACCTCCATAATTTTTAGGGTAGATCACCACTCATTTCTCTTATGTTACAATTTCAAGACCTACTGAGGGCATGTATACATGAGATGCTTAATGTCCATTAGACTAATTCTACTGAGCATTAGCGTGCCTGGCAAAAACTGTGCTAATGCGCAGTAGATTTCGTCTAATAAGCATTAAGTGTCACAAAAAAGCATTCAACTGTGCTAATGCTCAGTGGCACCAATTATAGTTCATTTTGTACCCTTTATTATGGCACATTAATAAACGTGTAGATGCACCCAGGATTTTACGAACTCAACCTTTGGGGCACAACATGCTCCAAACCAGGAATTTCTTCATTACCAGAAATACTCAGATCAGAAGTCAAAGCACCTCGGTATATTCAAGTACGGAACTTTGAAAGATACTCTGTTCTCTAAAGTTTCTTGTCATCTGATTTCACCTCAAAGTACACATACGTAAGCCATTTGGAATTCCATTCAGTGGTGGACTTTTTAAAAAATTCAGTAATTGAGAGAAACAAGTCTGGTTGCTTGATATACTTCTAAGAATATCAGTATTATAGGGATTAAAATGTGCCCAAATATTGGACTATTTATTTGGAATACCTGAAAAAAAAATAAACAAATAAATAAATAAATAAAACACACCAAACATTTTTTCTTGTGATTTTTTTTTAAGTGTATCAAATGCATAAAGTATTATGCCTCTAAAATTGAAAATAACTTAAAATACTGACTTTGGTTCATATGATATTGTGGGAAAAAAGTTGTTAATTAATAAGGAACTTTTCTACCAGTTTCACTGTTTCCAGAAGTACTGTGTTTCAACACGGGACACATCTTGTATTGCCGTACAGAAAATCAGTTACAGATAACACAGTGAAAATTCAAGTCTTAAGATCAAACTCTGCATGAGTATAAAAACCTCACCACATTGCCAACAAATACTATGAAAGGAAATTTAACACAAAAGAAAGATATTTAAATTCAATTATAATAAAGTGTGCAATCACAAAGCAGGAAGCTGATAATTTCTATAGTTTTGTGATGGTGCTACCAGCAAATCTGAAATAAGTTCAGAGTGAATCTCTGTCTTTCCATACTGTGAATAGGGAAGCCTTACCTTTCATGATGACAAAGAGGCACAGCTGAATTTTTGTAGGCATAACATTCAAAAGATACCCTCAGGATCATGCTGAGGGTCTGGCCCTCTCAAGACAGAACTCCATCTCTGTTACAGAGGAGCACACCCTGTAACCCTGAAGACTGAAGAAACACTTTCACTAGAGGCAGAGTAACCTCAGTGGGTTGGGAAGCTTCAAATTCTCACCAAATTAAGTCCATAAACAATCTTGGGACAGCATTCTAGAAAGGGCAGAGTGACTACAGGTGTAGACATGGGTGGGAGGGTGTTAAGAACAGATTCTCATCTGGATGTCGCCATCAACTTTCAAAATCTCCAGCTTCAAGTTAAGGTGGCTATATTTAATTTTTACGGTTATTAGGAATCTTGTAAAATCATGGAGAAGAAAATATTAATAGGAAAAAAGGCTGAAAGAAAGCCACGGTATAGAGAGATTTAGAGGAGAAGAATTAGAGAGACACATAATGAAGGAGGTAGTTTGTACAACGTGGTAAAGAAAGGAAAGTGGGGAAAGATGAAGTGGAAGAAAAAGTTAAAGAGGAAACGCAAAAGCAACGATGTATCAAAATCAGGAAAGAAAAGAAAGTGTAAGAACAACAGAACTAAAGGGTGCAATTAAACTGGTTGGCCAAACATAATATGTAATATAATACATTTCCCAAGCATTGTTTAGTTAGTTTGGCACTTTTTTAGTATATGGCCAATTCTTTTCTGGTCAAATACTGTTTAGTGATTTCATAAGTACTTATGAACTAAATGATCATATGCACACAGATATTTATTTATACCAAAGGTTGGCAATGTTTTCTGGTGGAGGACCAGAATGTCCCAGCTCGGGCCTGAGGCAGGAGGGTAGGTGGGACTCAGCTGCCTCCCCCACTTCTTCCTGCCACGCGGCTTCAGCATAGTGCATGGAGAGTTCCCTCTGGGCCAAAGACCCCAGTGCCTCACTGAGAGAGTGCAGGGAGAGCTCCCCCTCCACTAAAGCCTTTGGCTGCCAACTGTACCACAGCACAGCACAGCACAGGCAAACCCCTTTCCGCCAAGCACCCCTGGAGTCACAGCTGCACCTGGCAGATCCAAAGGCTCTGCAGGCCAGATGCAATCCATGAGCGGTATGCTGCTGACCCCCTATTTATACAATTCAGCCACTTCTAATATTAAAGTCAGAAATTTTCAGACTGTTTTAATGGAAAGTGGAATCACAATGTGTACAGTACTTTTGAAATGTTTTATTTCTTTAAAATGGTGAAGTGGGAGGACACAGTAGCAAAGTTCTCTTCACCCCGGCTGGTAGATAGCAAAGCCTTTTTCAAACCCTGGTATTAACACTTCAGCAATGTGTACAACACAAACATGCCTCAACCTAGAGGGTGTCAATCTACAGGAAATAGTTTTTATAATATTCTTACCTATATAAAGCATCATCAATCTCCATAGAATCTGTCGCCATGATGCAAAATAATTTGTTCGTGCTAGAAAAGAAAAAAAAAAAAGTGACAAAATAAGTAAAAAACGGTTACATAATAAGTTTCTTTAAACTTTCTACCCTCACTCCCTGTGTTACATGAGAAATAGATGGATTAATGGCAGGGCAGATTAAATGAAAAACAGCAACACTTATCTGAAGGCCCAACTAGAGCACAGTGGTCCCTTCTATTAATACGCGTAGTAGTACATACCTAAGATTAAGCATGAGACAACAACAATTCAGGATCCTAACATAACTGTAGAGATGAGTGTCGTCTTATAAAAGGATGGCTGAGTTCCTGCTTTAGATACAACTCCCACCACCCTTTTAATTCTGCAGTTTCAATTACTGACTTCATAATACAGAGTTACTTGTAAACTTATTTAATGTAGTATGAGTGCTGTTGTAGCTGTGAGGGTCCAGGAAACATGCAAAAAATAAAGTTTTTCTGGTGATATTATACCAACTATAAAGCTGAGAGAGATTTTAAACAAGATTTTGGGTTCAAAGTGCACTTCTTCAGGACTGTGGGTATCTATCATATTTATCTTGCTTATCTTTCTTAATGGATTATGACACACTTATTTAGACCAGGATCAGCAACCTGTGGCCCATGGGCCAGATCTGGCCTACAAAGCCACTGGATCAGCTAGTGGACCTGGGGCTTTGGTGGGATTCAGCAGCAAGGGGCCTCAGGGGCAGGCGATTCACCTATGCTGCACTGAAGTCAGGTAGCAGGGAACTTTCCCATCCCAAATAGCAGGGAGAAGTAGTGGTGGCAGCCAAGTCCTAGAGTCAATCTGTCTAGGATCCAACCTGGGCTATTCTGGCCTGCTCCTACAAAAGCACTGCCAACTGCTGATATAGAAAATGTCACAACCCAGTGATTTGGTGCCTCGGCACGATGGAATTTTCCCGCCACTTGAGAGTCTCTTGCACAGCAAAGGTTTTGTTGCAACAGAAAAACCTCGGTGCAAGAGAGTTACCGCCATTCGAATGCAAATTTGTGTCCCTCTAAATTATTCCTACGTGGCGGTTAGTAATTGGCTTGCTGGCCGTTTAAAATTTCGTGCAACTTCCGCCCAAGTCGGAGAACTTTGAGCATGCCGCAGAGTGCTAAAGATCTGACTTGCGGCTTAGCTGATCAATAGGCTGATCACCTATCGATTCTTCTTCCCGTTGCCGAGCGCAATCCTTGACGTACCCCTTCCCTGCCGGACGGATTCGCTGGCCTGAGCCTTGCCAGCTGGAGCAACTCACATAGTTGTTTAAGCGATCGGACCACCTGCGTCGCGGCTACAAGCGGCGTAAGTAAAGTTTTTGCAACCACTAAGCTTTGTCTGTCTCTCCATTCACCAGCCCGCCCAGTAAACGAATAGTTTCTAAATCACCTCAAGTCGGCTTCAGCCGGCCGAGGTGATTGGCGATGAGGATGGGATTTAAGGGCACGGTGATGGAGATGAATCTAATTGGGTGCTGCCCCTGGCGCACCGGGACCCGCCGTGTAGAGAATGCAAACGATCTATGGGCGCATATCGCTTACCACCAGGCGGTAGAAGGGGATGAAAGAAATACTGATGGCTACTTCTCCATAAAGAAAGAAGAAGCCGTCATAAAAGAGTGGAGAACTAAGCTATCCCTTGGGGAGTTCGGGTGTATAATGGGGAGCGACCGGGTCTATTATCGACCCCCGGAGGAAACATCAACCATATCCCTAGCTGGGGTGAAGGTGCGGAAGGCAGAAAAGCTGACCCCCGCTCAGGAGGGGAATCCACCCCCACGGACTTGGTTCAACTGTCCGGATTTGGTGCCTGGGTCACGGGGCCATGAGCTCCTCGTTCAGCTCCGGTAGGACCTGGAGACCAAGGGCCATCATGTACCCAAGTGGGGTTTAACTAAATGGAGGAAGGGAAAGATGATGAATGTGCTGTTCCGTACAGTAGCGGGTCTACTAAGGGAATACGCAAATTTAGAGGCTCAGATGCATATGGCGAGTAAAGAATCGCTGGAGCAGACAGCAAAGGGCTCTGGAGCGACGCTTATCAACAGCGCTGGCCGCATGATGCCGCTGACAGAAAATGGCGCCAAAAGAAGCGCGAGCCATCCGGGGAACCCGGAAGAGAGGGGCAGAGCTTCGGAAGATCCGGCGGGGATCCGCCTAGTGACTCCGCCACCTGAGGTGAAGTCGTTCCCAACGGCCCCGCCTCCTTTCCACGGGGAGGGGGCAATGGGAGGAGGGATGTATCCAATGCTCCCACATGGAGACCTTAACTCTTTCTCTGCCGCAGCTCACCCGATAGCTGTGATGAAGCGTGTTGCAGATGAAGAAGGTACTAAGCGTACCACTGTTCTCTCTCACACACGCACCCAGAAACCAGAAATTTCGGCTTCAGCCGGCCGAGACAGAAAAGAGAAGAAAAACCTTGAATTTTCAGACTTCGATCATGAGAAATTCCATTACATATTGCTTTAGATATTTTTCTTTATAGGAAGGAAGGGTCCTTGGATAGCTGAATAGTTAGAAAGAATAATTTGAACTATAGTGTACTCCACTCACATGCATACTATTTAAATATATCGTTCACTTAGCTGCATAATACAATGCCAATGCCTATTCTTTTGTCTACCGTTGTCACTAAAAACAAACACGTGCTATCAGTTACATGCATAACTCACTTAAATGCAGAGGACTTTAGAGTTCCACTCCCTACTTCGTGATGTATTTGCTCTCTTAGTAGCTGCACACTAACCAACACCAGAAATGGCAAAGAGGAAGCAGCTGTCACAAAACTGCTATTAGAAGCCTTGAAAAATGACAAACTGGCCACTTTGGGGTTGCTCTCCTCCCTCATCTTCAAGACTCCTAATAGCAGTCCTGAAACAAGCTGACTACTACAAGCCTTCAAACTGAGGAATTCTTGTGAAGGCAGTCAATACCACAGCACTGACAGTGCTACATACTTTATGACCATTGCTTACGTTAAGTTAGGCGTTACTTTTTTTTTTTTTTTTATTCTTTTTTGGTCACAAATCTATGTATTTAAAACACAGTGCACATTACTCATTTACACTGCTGGCTTCCTAAGTTAACAGCACACACTTAGGAAAGACACTGGTGGCCCTGCAGATGGATGATGGATTAAAAGCCAATGCTAACAATATTAAAAGACAACAAAAGGTTAGGATGGATGAAGGATAGAACAGAAAATACTCCAAACTTAATGCCATTATACAAAAAATAGGTTTACTGATTCTTAAACACCTTATTTAACCACATGACATCAAGGCCTAGAACTTGGCGGGAGCCAAAAATGACAATTCATTTGAATGAACACAACCTAACCCGCATATAGTGGAGTCGTCCAACAATCAGAAAGTTCCCCAATGTGTGCAGTGGGCAGTTAATCCTTCCAACCCATCTCAACTGCTGTCAGTGCTGTTCTGCTGGAAACTGTGAAACTGCCTCGGGCCTGTTAATTTCAAGGCTGATATTAGCGGGATAAATTGTTCACAGTAAAAAAAAAAAGTAAGAAGCATTAATGAGGTGTAAACAGCTGGGCCATAGCAGCTCTGGATGAATTAGCAGGCAACCTTAAAATAGATTAAGCAGTTCAAAGAGAGGATATTAAACCAGATAGTCACCTAGACTAATCCAAAATAACAGTCCCTATAGTCATTATTTGACCATATAATCCATTAAAATGTTAATCAGGCTCTTAGCTTAGGACGTATTTAGGGGTGCAACTTGTTAAAATAGTAATGGAGACTCCAAAATTAGAGGGAAGATAGGCTTAGCTCTTTCTACCAACAGATTAAAAGTAAAGGCCCAGATCTAAGCAGCTTTCATACTGAGCATGCAAATGCTACACAGAAATAGCTTCCTTGTAAAGAAAGACTGAAAGTTGTTAAGCTCAAAGGTCATTTGCAGTCATTGTTTAAACCAAAGAGCACGCTAGCATACCACATGGCATATCTAAAAAAAATGTCTCCCCCAGTCAGCAAGAAGTAAAGCAGAAATTTCAAGCAGAAGATTATGAGTCTCACACATGCATGTGCACATACAGAGGAAACTGTAGATTGCTCAGGTAGGAGGATAAATAGAAAATAATTACAATGGAAAACAAGCTACAACTCTTATTAAGTTATTCCTATATGCTCAAAGTGTATGCATATGATGGTTATGTCATGTGACTACAAAGGCTAGCAGGTCACAATCCTGAAGGCCAAGACATCACATACCCACATTCTCTTCCCACTGATCCTTCCTGTGGCTAAGAGATTCAGCTTTCACAGCTGACAAGCCAGAATATTTTCTCAGTGCATGGTCACTCTTAAAAAAGAAGTACACAACAGGAACACCACTGTCTCCAGACCACCATCCAACAGGCTCATAGGAAGCACTGTCTTATAATTCATAGAACCATAGAGGAGTAGGGCTGGAAGGAACCTCCAAAGGTCATCTAGTCCCACCTTCTTCCTGAGGCAGGATCATCCCTACCCACACCATCCCCTACAAAGCAAAATCTAAAACAGGGGTGTGCAAACACAGTCTGCAGACAATATCCGGTCCGACAATTGATCCTATCTGGCCTGCTGGCCACTGCCAGGAGGCTGAGGAGAGAGGGTTGTGTCACACACTGCTCTGCTCTGCCACAACTGGGGCTGGGCTAGGTCGTGTAGCGGACAGGCTCCTCCACCGCCCACCGACTCCCCCAGTAACCATTTCCCACCCCTTCACCCTGCTTTCTGTTGGTGCTGCACAGTCCTGGCAGCACAGACTTCAGGCCCGGACAGGGCATGATGCAGTGCACTCAGTAGCTGTCTCACCTGCCTGCCACAACGAGGTGCTGCTGCCACCTTGCCGCTAGGAGGTGTCTATGCTGGCTGTGCAGGTGGGGGACGGGGCTTGGCCCAGGGGAGCTGGCCCTGACTTTCCTGATGCGGCACAGTGGCAACAGCTGACTGTGGCAGGCGGATGGGACAGCTACGCAGCGTGCTACATCGCACCCCGTCCCGCGCTGGTCCGGCTGCTGGCGGCTGTGGTGCGATCAACCCTGACACAACACAAACACAAAGCACCAGTAAGATTTTTGGGGGGGAGATTGATGCAAGTTTTGTAATCATGAAAATGATCAGCCTGACAAGTCTAACATAACGTATCCTCTGCTTCATGTAATATGCACATTCATAGTCCTGTAGAGCAGTTACGTCTTAAACTGATTTAAGCATGCCTACTAATTCATCCAGAACCACCTGAGCTCAGCTGTTCATATGTCATTGATGCTTTGTACTACTACTTTTTTTTTTTTCCTGTGAACAACTTACTCCTCTAATATCTGTCTAAAATTGACAGGAGCGAGTCAGTTTCATGGTTTCTCAGCAGAAGCACAGCATATTTCCCCATCAGATGGCACCAGCAGACTTTTTTTGTGCTGTGAAACATGAAGATTGCCACGGACCAACCGTAGCTCCATCCAGGCCAACAACGGATGCAGACAGGGATCCCCTCCAAGGACATCCGACCCAGTCCCAAAACACGTCAGCAAGTGCCCGAATCCTAGCACCCGTGCGATGTGCCGACAGCCACATGGAAACCTCAAGGATGCTGCTTGTCTAACCCATTCCAGAGGGCCACTTCCCACATGAGGGAACGAGTCAGCGTCTGTGCCTAACAGCCTGCCCAGGTTTTGTAGAATCACAGAAAATGAGGGCTGGCAGGGGCTGCAGCAGGTCGCCTAGGGCAACAGTTCCCAACCTTTTTTATACCAGGACACATTTCTAAACATGGGCGGCAGGTCCCGGCCAGCTTCCCCCTCCTCCAGGGCGTGGGGCAGGGGGAGCCCCTCCCAGGCTGGAGCTCTGCCAGCCCCAAGGGGAACCCCACAGCTTCCTACCTTTTTCTCCTTTAAAGGAAAATCCATTTTTAAGGTTTCTTAATCCATTTTTTAAATTAACACATGAATCCACCATCCTTTCATTATCTCCTTGCAACCCACTTTTGGGTTGCAACCCATGGGGTGAAAAACGCTCTATCTAGCCAAAGCAGGACCGTCCCCAGCTACGCCATCCCGGCCAAGGCTTCCTCTCGCCAGGTCTTAACACCCTCCAAGGATGGCGATGCTGTCTGTGGCCCCTTCCACTGCTTCCCCACCCTCCTCCTGAGAAACCTTTCCCTAGTATCCAGCCTTGCTGCAACCTGAGACCCCGCTCCTTGTGCCGTCCCCCGCCCGGCGCCCCCCGCTCAATTCCCACCTGCGTTTTCCCGGACTCTCCGCAACCCGCAGCAAGTCTCGGTGGAGCGGAGGCGGCA